TAGTTACACCGATGTCGCCATTTCTTTATCAATGGCGACAAGGTATTTTCAAAACCTGCTATACATTTAGAAAACAGCGAGTTTTTGACAACGCCATCGTTGTTGGAAATTACAGGGAAATGAGTGTTTAATTGTTTCCAAAAAGTAACGGAAGGCCAGTGCATTCGCCTCTAATTGGGGCGAAGAGAATGGTAGCTTTTCGGAAACAGAGATTTGGATTTTTTTCTTCCCAAATGGTGCGCATGCTCTTGCTGTTTTATTTCCCTGCCTCAGGTGGAGGATATGCAGGGAGAGGTTAGGAGGCGGGGAGATCTAGACGCGCAGATGGAGGTGTGCGTGGGCGAGATCGTGGGCAGGATGAGGGCGCTGGAGGAAGAGAATGGGAAGCTGAAGGCGAGAGGCAGCGGCGGGGTAAAGAGGCAGCGCGGGGGCGAGGAGCAGCGCACCAGATAATGAGTTGATTGGCGAAACGCGAACGCGAACGTTCGAAGTTGAGAAGATCAAATCTTGACCCAGCCGCGTCTGAGATGGCGCAGAGTTGCTATCGCCTGCGCGGCGGGCGCCGGGGGGTCTGTGTATCGGGAATCTGGCAAAGCCATGGACAGCGGCTGGCTGCCAGGCTTAAGTTGGCATCATTATTTATCAATGTTGGCCTCCATTCGTTCTTGGGGAAAGGTCTTGTTGGGTAGTCTTGTAGTTATGATGCGTTGCGGGGGCAATTTGCGGCCGACATGTATGTCGCGACTTTCTAGATGCGGCTGAACATACCGTGGAAAGCCAGATATGTCTCGTTCTGCTGTGATTAACGTGTGCGATGCGTTGATGATGGAGGGCCAATCGTCGTGCATTGTTTGCTTGTTGTTTATGCGCTATTTCTGTGATGTTTCAAAATCTTGCGGGATGTGAAATGCCATACACCCCCCCGCTCAGAAGATGCCTCGACTGCTGGTGTTTCGCAGCAAGTTCGCCCTTGCAGAATGTGCAGGTTATAACCTAACTAGGTTGTTTTCCGCTGGCATTGCGATGCGGCATGTGGGGTCATTCCTGCAGAAAAATGCTGCCAGCGGCAACCGAATGTTTGCCCCAAGCATGGCAACATCCGTGTATGAAATTTCGCCCCCTGACGAAGAAAGAGGAATGGCCCAGAATTGATGAATTCTGTAGAGCTGCAGTACCATAGCAGTCCCTCCATGTGCTGGCCAGCGCATTCCGTGTATTTGAACATCATGAGCGCATTGCCAAAATGCATAAAATATGACTTCACGTATAGGATTAATTGCAGATGTCTGGTACGCCCTTTGCCTTATTGCACGTCTGCATTGGCGATGTTGCTCAGTTCTTATGCAGACGGTGCCCAGATGCGTACTGCCGCTGTACGGTATGAAATGACATACGGTCGTGGAGTACCGATAGAAGAACATCCACGATCCATTACAGTTTCGGAGTTGGTGGCGCGCTATCACATTGCATCCGCGGCTCCCAACTTACCGCTGCAAAAAGGGTGCGTCTGAAAAGTACGGACCGCACTATTTAGGGAAGACGCTATGTCGATTTTGGTATGATTAGCATCAATTTGACGTTAAGCACAGGTCATAGGGTCTTCCCTTACATTGGATTGAAAAAGGGGGCAGGCACTGATGCCAGAGATCTCCTTTGTAACAGTGTGGCTATTGCATGCCATGCCGCAGATGATGCGGCCGCGTCCAGCGAGGGCGGGCGTCCTTTGAACAATCGCAAGGAGGATTCCCTGATCGTCAGGCGCGTTTCAAACCACATTTCTGCGATAAAAAATTACAGGTGTCCACAGAACTCAGGATCCGCAAACGAGTGCAACGGCAACCGTCCTCATGATGTTTAGGCACCAGGTGATGCATTGCATGAACACATCTGACGTGGTTCCTGTGATCGGCAAGTACTGCTGCCGTTGCCTGCAATCGATAAGGGTGTGGCACCATGTTTTCATTGGAAATTTCCCGGTGGGGACAACTGAGCGTGAGCCGCGGAGGTTGGACACCCACTGCCCGACAGACTCGCAGGGTGGAAGCTGATGTCAGCAGGCGGGCGTCACCAATGTTCACGTCGCATCCGTGATTAAGCGCTCCCCCAATCCGGGATTCGAGCTGCCCCTGACCGGGGAGCAACGAGCAGGAGGAAGGGACACCGCGAGGAAGGACACCGCGATTGGTGTCAGCTTCTCTTCAGGTTCCCCTGCGACATTGGACAAGCCCTGGCCATGATCCTCGTGATCGCGCTGCGCGGGCCTGCCGGCGGGACAGCGGAACCACCCCGGAAAGACAGCGCCGCCGCGTTTCCAAATTTCCAAATCCGATTTCGAAACCGTTCCCGCCCGCATGCCTGACATGCCGCCCGCCGATTTTCAAACGCAGAGCGTTTCTGGCACCCCTGCCCCTGTGCATTGCCAATTTCCGTGCCCAAACCCGCCCCCCTCACCCCTGGCCCCCGCAGCATAAAAGCCCTCGCTCGCCCCCCGCTCTTCCGTTGCAGCCCCTGCCCGCAGACCGCCTTCCAGAGATTCACGCGCGGGCGCTACCAGGCATACGCGAACGAGCTGATCGCCAGCATGGCCCTCAAGAAGGGCGACAAGGTGCCTGCCAAGAAGGTGGCCGTCTCCAAGGACAAGAAGAAGAAGAAGTCCATGCGGGAGACCTACAAGATCTACCTCTACAAGGTGCTCAGGCAGGTCCACCCGGAGATTGGCATCTCCAGCAAGGCGATGTCGATCATGAACTCCATGTGCAACGACGTCTTCGAGCGCATGGCCACCGAGGCCTCCAAGGTGTCGAAGTATAACAAGCGGCCCACCATCACGAGCCGTGAGATCCAGACGGCCGTGCGGCTGGTGCTGCCGGGCCAATTGGCGAAGCACGCCGTCTCGGAGGGCACCAAGGCGGTGACCAAGTTCACGGCGCACAATTGAGCGGGTAGAGGCTAGATGGGTGAGGGGGGTGGGGGGTCGCCGGCGTGGCGCGGTTCCGGAGGTGCAGTGGTTTCGAAATTCCAATCGGCGCGGGGAAAAAGGCAGAAGTTTCGAATTGCGAGCCAATGCGGGGGCTATGGGGCTCGCTGTTTTGAGGGGATCGTTGATTTCCGCCGTACATGTGGCTGGTCCCCACCGCTGCGTTTTCTGCACGGCGGGATCCTGTGGGCTATGTGCGTTCCGGGGCGGCTGCCTTTGTTTGTTTCGGGCTTTGGTGGGGATACACGTTGTGCGGGCGCCGCGGGCGACGAGAGTGGGGATGGGGCGAGCCCGCTGGGCGGGGCGCAGAACTTCTGAGGGGCACCTGTACAGTAGTTAATGGTAGTTTGGTGGGGGCTGCAGGTTGACGGAACAGTGGCATGCTTGTTCGCGCACGGGCGAGCAGGCATAACGGCAAGTAAATTGGTTGCCGTGTAATGATTTTCGAGTTCGGAACCTTGCACCGAGATTTCCTTTGTGGTTACCTGGGGCCCTGGGGCCCGCCGAGCGACCTGAACGGCACCGTTCGAACTGCTCCGCGTGACTGTCCGCCACGCAAATTGGAAAGCTCGAAGTTGTTTCCTTGGAGAAATGGGTCAAGTAATTGAACATTGACCATGTTTGTGCCATCCGCCATCGTCTGCCGATTGCTGTCCCAATAGCTGTGTTGACTGGACCACAAACTGTGCCCGTCTCCACGTTGCATTCACTGCCCAAAGAGCTTGGCACCCTAAGGCCCTGCACTTGTCTGTGGCCGGTTGTACCTTTTCTTCCTCTACAGAGCAGATTTGTGAGCTATATTGCTGTGGTTTTGTTGTTTCAGCACTCTGTCTATGGTTTCCCTTATCCATTCTGGGACAAAATCTGTGGATTCCTTCTGCACCTTGTAAGGCAGCAGCAGCGTACCACAGTGTGAGTAGCTCGTGCATGACTGGACAGGTGTCTGGAAGGAGCTGGTGGATTACACATCTCCTTGTCATTACCGATTGGCTGTGCCATTTTTGCAATTTGACTGACAACTTGACAGTGGATCATGTTGGGTACTTCAGAACGATGGGAAGGGCGCCATCTGCGTCATTGCTCCAATGCCCACATCAACATTTGTCTATTGGCTTCCCCAGTACTGCCTGTGGATTTTTGGTGTCCAGCATGTTTGTGTAATTTTGGATACAACGACCCCAAAATTGTGTGCCCTTAGAGCTTGCAATGGAAAGTTCTTTTTTGACAATTGTTGATCAGCCAAGGCCACTATCTGCTGCCGCAGTACTTGCACTGTGCAAGTCTTAGGAAAGGGAGCTTATCTGCACATTGGTATGGTAGTTCGCCGCCCCTGAATCATTGTTACGGTCTTTGGTCAGCCATTTGCACATGCCAGGGCTTTCAACGGTCGTTCGTTTGGATAAAAACTGCAGGGACTATAATCAAGACATGAACCGAAGGTGCGATGTTTTGCAAAAAATCCATTGTGCCATGGCTGCCATGTGACAGTCACCTTAGCACACCTCGTTCCACTCACCGTTTTGCTAACTGTGGACCTCCAGGAACCATGTGGCCTCTGCTGACAGCAGCCACAGGCCTTCCCCTCGGAACCCTTTGGAATGTGGATCTTCTGACATTTCTGCTCACCACGAATCGACGGTATGCATTCCTTTGGCATTCCGAAACATAACTTCAGAGCGAGGATAGTCACACAAAGACAACAGAGGGCAAAACTGCCTTCCTTGGGTGACCAGAAGGCAAGACGCAGTGCTGCCTTCCATTGCAAATGACCCACGTTTGAGTGCACAGCCACCCACGGTGCAGCGTCCAGAGCAACCCAGCATGGTCCATCTCCTTTTCCCCCCCTTCGAAACCAACCGCACAAGCAGCTGTATCGCTATTATTGCTGTGTAAGCATGTCCGCCCATGGATGCAAGCACATGCCACAGATGCCAAGGTATTCCTATTACTACAGCATCGTATCCTCGCCTCCAGTTGCCTGCAAATTTTGCCACAACCGATGTTTTTTCCCAAATCCTTTCGGCTATTTGGCGCATGTTATCGCTGGCTTTACCGGACTCCGATCATTGACCGACCAGTCCTCCAGCATGTCTTGCAGCTCCTGTGCGGGGTCCGCCTCGGTGCCATGACCATTCGCCGCAAGCTCGCTCAATGCATCCTCTCCGTCCTCCAATTCGTCTCCCTCCAGTCCGTCCTCCATGGCCCCGTGCGCCTCATCCAAATCGGACCCCACGTCATCCACCTGGCAAGCAAGGGGGGAAGCAAACAAAGGGTTCGGCTCTTGCTCTTGCTCACGTCGCTGCCTCTATCAATGAAAACACCATTCATGTCGCTTTTGTGGTCAATTTTTCATGTTTGTGTTCGTGTGACGTTCAGGCCGTCGTCTCGTTGACGTAGGCCTTGCGCTGGCATTTACGTTTTGGAAATTGGACCGGCTGAGTGCGACGCAATGATGTGAATCCAGAGTGTCAGGAAAGGGAACGGGCAGTCGTCTACTGGACCGGAAAACCAAATCAATGAAGTGGGAATTTCGCCAATATTCAATTAACAAGTAAGAACCCATTCAATTAAGAAAACAAATCAAACTCGGTGTCTGGTACAAATTCGCTAAAGGAATACGAGAACGTGCAGTTTGGGTCGGAGGGAGGCCCACCCCACCTGGAAGTACCTCCCCAGCAGGTCCCTGGCCAGCGAGGCCACCTCCTGGCACTCGTGCTCCGTGAGCTGCCGCAGCGTCTCCCGGCCGCCCGCCGCGGACACCTGGCACGCGACCCGGTTCGACCGCCCGTGGTATCCCCTGGCTCGCACGCGCTTCTTGTGCGCCTTCTCGCTCATCTCGTACGACTCGTTCATCAGTACGGCGCCGCCGGCGCCGCCGCCGTTGTTCAGCCGGCCCAGCTCGCCCATGGCCAGGGCTGTGCCCAGGGCGGTCAGGGCGGCGGCCACGGTGCTGCGCTGCTCCCACGTCAGGAACGCGCACAGCGCCTCGATGCAGCCGTCGTTGGAGAGCTGGACGACGCCCTGACGGGGTGCACGCCGATTACGTCCTCGCCGTTATTACATTTTTCAGGAGGCGAAGCAGCAGCCCTTGCGCCAAACTGGCGATGCCGGGCAATGGCCCCAAGCACTCGTTTTTGTTCAAATCCGCAGTGTTTGTCGACGAGCGCGGCAGGTCGGACCAAGGGGCCCGCCGGTGGGCGGGGTGCACGCGCGCCGGGTGAAGTCGCACGGTCAACCGCTACGCGACGACCGCGATTGGCCGGTCGCACGCGCCCTGGCAGCGTACCATCCAGCGCATTTCATTCACCATTCCTGTTCCTTTCTTTTCAGAAACTTCTTTTCTATCGAGTTCTTTTCGTCTTTTGTTGATCTTTTGGTTTCGCTCCTGTTTGTGTCCCTTTTCTTGCGTCCTGCCAGGACATGCTCTGATTGTAGCACCAGGGATTGGGGTGGGGCAATGGAATGCTTGTGCAAACTGCTCCTCGCACGCCCTGCGCCTGGCACCAGGATGATGCAGCTGTCCCATTGCAAGCACTTCTCGTTGTGGCCGACTGGCTGCCCATGGTTGGGTACAAAGACAATTTGCAGGTCTGAGACCGCAGCACGGCCACAATAGCAGTTGAGATGGACAGTAATTGAAGCCAAGAAATGCACCAACACGCTCAGCATGTTACCCTCACAGCTGGTCTCTCAAGTGCTGTCTGCCCCTTTTGCTGAAGTTGGTACAAGCCAACGGGCAAGCAATTTCTTTGTGTGTGTCTCTTTGAGGGGTGGATGGGCGTGCATGGGGTGGAGGCCAACAGAAATACGAGCAAATGGGAGACAGTAAAAGTTTCAGAGGAGCATGTACCCCGTCTCGTTCCTGAACCTTCTCATTCCTGGGGGACAGATTCTGTCCAAAGGGGACTCTACCAGACTTGAGGTAGATGATTATTTGCCCGTGAGAGTTCCCACTGCATGCCATGGGCGATTGCCTGCAGTAAAAGGAACCAGTGTGCTCGCAGCGGGTGTTTGGGAAGCGGCCTTTCCACATTCTGTGAAAGAAGATGGCCTTCACCTGGTATGGCATGGAGCTCGTGGTGAAGGCGTTGATCACAACAAAGGCAGCCTTGCACTTGACCTCATAGATGCTGCTCCTGAGGACGTCCATGACAAGCGGCATGATGCCTACATCGATCACCCCCTGGCAGGTGGACCACCCGCTGGCCACCAGGTTGGCCAGCACCAAGCATGCGTTCCCCAACACCCTCTTTTTCTGATGGCCCATGAGGAGCCGCTTCAGGCGGGGCAGGGCGCCACAGGCCACCACCTCGGCGGCGCTGGACTCAGGCCCCAATGCGACAGACGACAGGCAGCGCAATGTGGGGTGCACCACCGATGGGGATCGGTTCCTGCAGCAGGAAGGGTGACGGGCTGAGGTCTTGGCTGTGTTGTGTGATCTTTGCAATCCTTCGAAAACGCTTTGAGAACGAGCAAACACACTGCACTTGCGCCTGAAAAAGATACTGGAACAGTTCAAGCACGCCTTGCGTTAGGGTCAGTTTGCTCCCAACACCCAGTGTATCTCAAAAGCCGAGGGAATCCCGAGTTTTGGCACCTTTTGAGTTGTTGCTTCAACTGCAGCACTGGGGGAATGTGTCATTGCTGGTGCTGCCAGAGCACCAGCTTGTGCAGATTCTTGACGACTTTCAAGCAGGAGTCCAACACTTCTTGACAGGTCACAAGAGCAGCAGCTGTGGGTGTGTGCCAAATGGAAGGAGCAAGGAAAATGAATCCTGGGTCACAGTTTGGGGGTCTCACCCAAGGTGCTTGACCAGGTGGGGAATGGCACCTGCTGCTATGATCCTGCTGACGTAATTATCCTGCCATTCTGCGATGGACGACAGGGCCCAAACAGCGTCTGCTAGGATGTCCCTGTCTCTCTGCCTCAACAGGTTGGCAGACACTTGGATCACAGTGTTGGCGAGTTCCTGCGATGGAGGTATGGACTTTGGGTGAACCAATTGCACCGAGTGCGGCTGCAGACAGCTGGGAGTAGAGCAGTGGGCATCTTGTGGTACAAATGTGTTCACAGAATGCTGGTCTTCCTGCCACAACCTGTCTTTTTAGTATGCATGGGCTATCCTATTGATTTGTGCTTCTGAAGTATAATGGAAATAGAAAGAATGCCACAGCTGAACTGATGCAGTGGCACATTTGGAAAGTGACATTGGACTGGCGCAGTATGTTTGCACTGTACCACTGACGCATTGATTGAGTGCTACTGCTGGAGGCCTCCCCATTCTGGTGGTCGAATCAACATGGCAGTTGGAGTCACATGTGCATTTTGGCAGACCAAAGGCCATGGCACTGAGTTAAGCTGCGACGTTAGCTTGATCTATCAAAACATCCCAGTGGCCGTATCCTTCTGACTCCACCTGCATGGTTTTCCGCACCTTGTGGTGTGCCACTGCAAGATGCTGTGGCAGTGTGTTGTAACTGCCACCGCCACACGATCACCATGACAGCACGCACAATAGCACAGTGGCAACATTGGCAATGCCAGCCAATATAGGCATATGAATGTGTTCATTGGCATGCTCGGATTCTTGGCAAATTTGCACTTTTCAAAGATCAACAAACCTTCTGCGGTAGTACATCAAACAAACTGCAGTGACTCGCACCTCAGTGTCGCCACCGTAGAACCTGGTCCTGCAGAAATTGGCCAATGCCCACGTGCCAATCCGCACGGTGGAAAGACTGGCGCTGTCATCCTGCAGGGTCCCTAGCAACAGTCGCAGCGCGCCCTTCTCGATGAGGACGTCTCTGAACTGCCTCTCAGCGGCGATATTCCCGACAGCCCAAATCGCCTGCGACAGAAAGGGCACGAAATCGTGGGAACGAGAAATGCGCCCAATGCAAACATCAGCTGAAGCACTCCACTTCGGCGGACGCGCAGTGAACGGGGGGGTCACTTTGGGTCCTTCACGCAGATGCTGACGGCCCAGAATATTTGGCGTTCTCCAGCCACAGCAGTAGATTGGAGTTGTGACATCGTGTGTCATCACTCTATGATTCTGACGAACTTACTGTTGTAATTCCCACGACGCTTGCGTGGGAGCATCGTGGGATCTCCAGGGCTTCATTGTCAGCAAAACAATTCGATATTTCTTGCATGGAATGCACGAGTTGGGATCAAAGACGCAAAGAAGCCGTAGCCGCCGATTTTCAGGGCGATCATCTGATTGACCGGTGTCAAGGCCCCACACCAGATATGCCCCCTCAATGGCGCCCGGCATGCGCAACAGATATTGGCTTGTGTGCCATTTTGGTTAATGTGTGAATGCCGCTTCCCTCCTCCAGACAAGCGAAGAATGGCTTCACCATCATGTTAGCATTCATGCAGGATTACGACACCATCTACAAACATTCGCATTGCACACTTTTTGCTTTTCATATGCTATTATTAGTGGGCTCATTGGATTTGGCCTCAATTCAACGCGATCTGCACGTTTTGCAAACACGATCTGCTGTACGATACGGTATTTATGCAATCACTGACAAACCAGCAATCTGTTCAAGCACGGACAGAGCTGTGCAGCATGAGCACCTTTCGGTTCGTGGCACCTCTGGTGTCATACCTGTTCCTTCAGGCTCCCCTTGTCCTTCCTCATGATGTCCACGAGCGCTGGTATCGCCCCCTGCTCCACCACCGCCTCGGTCTCCTCCGCCGTCCCCGCGCTCACGTTCGTCAGGGCCCATGCGGCTTCCACCTGCAGCGGCCAGGATGCACTGACAAAGCACTCTAGCAACTGGCCCCTGCGTGCAGCCATGCCTGCCGCCACTTTGCGGGAGCAGGTAGCTGTGCTCTGTCACGCGCATGACAGAGAACGCTCGGGAAACATGATCCAAAGGCAGGGTTGAAACTGCAGTGGCTGAGAATGGGGTTCGCGCAGCTCGATATCTGTTGGAGCAGGGATAAGTTGCCAAAAATCAAAAAATCGAAAATCGAAAATTTTGTGCTTGCAACGTGGCACGCGACGGGGCGCATTGCCTTAAGCAGGTGGCTTCAGTGTGGTCTCAACGCGAATCGTTTCAGCGGTCGTGGGGTGACGTCAGTGTGGGCTGAATGCGGAACTGGCGGCCAGCCACCTGCAGCTGCTGCAGCACCGCCAGCGGCATATTGGATCGTGCTTTGCCGCGGCAGGTGTACCAGTTTCTAAGGTTCTGGGCGCGATCCTGTGGATCCGTGGGGGAACCAATTCAACGGCGAAATAGATGCCCACAAAAGTACGGTAGGGCTTACGCCGCTTAATCCATTTTCAACGCGGTTAAGCTCGTCATCCGCTACGTTTTAAAACATCTAACACGATTTAAGCGCTCACAGCAAAAATTGCGTGGCGACGTCCAACCCTTTGCCAGTGTGTTGTGCAAGTCCCTGGCCGAATTGCGTTTGCCTTCACACGACAATGCAGGGCACCCCGCCTCGCTTTGCAGGTGATGACAGGCATCCACAGAAACCAAGCGTGCTTTCAGTCCTCACTCGCACAGACACGCCGCATTCCGTCCTTTTGGATGAATTACAAGCGGCTGCCAAATCTGAGGTGATGGTTGCGCTCGCCTGTATCTCCGCGGTGCCCTGCTTCAGGTATTTGACGAAGTACGGCACCAAGCCCAACTGAATGATGTGCTGCACGTGGGGGTTGTGATCTGTGGGAGACAACAAAAAATGCGCTCAGGAACACAGCGCGCCATCACGAAAGTTGGATCCACATGACAGGATTTCCACTCAGCGCCCTGGTGCCCTGCGAAGCGATGACGGATGCTTCTTCATGCAAATATTGATTGCAACAGGAATACAAAGGTTGCCATGCAAATGCCAAAAGAAAATGTTGCCATTAACAGGCGCACTGACTGTTCTAAAATGCTGGCCTTTGGTCCTCATACGCAATACGAAAAGTTAAATGAAGTCCGCTTCATTCAATGACATGTAAGCAATGCTCCAGGAATGGGGATACAATAGTCTTGTTGAAATCGGGGCCGCGGACTCCAGGGGGGCCGTGCGCATGACAACGAAAGAATTGGGTGTACCTTCGCACAGCATCCGGCGAAAGTACCTCAAACCATCGAGCTGCTTTTTGGAATCCTCGCATGCCATCACCCACTCCCGCATCAGGTCCTTGTCCTTGAACAGCTGCAGCAAAGGGCGCAGGGCGTCAAGAGACTGTTCACCGCACTGTAGATTGGTGCACTGCTGTACAGAGTTTCCGAGAGCTTTTGCTTTATGTTGCCAACTTACATGAGGTATAACCTGATAGGTGCGAGAGCTATGAGTGGCACTTCCATTGCACATCAAGGACAATGAAAAGTTATACAACAGGCTCCAAACTTGGGGCTGATGCTAAGAGAGCGACTTTCTCAGCTAATATGCCCAAGCTGTTGCAGCCATTCCCTGGGTAGGGTTGCCGCTCGAAGCTTCAAACTATGAGACGAAACGGATGTATGGAAAGTGCACAACTGAAATTTAACAGGTTGGCAGGGATGCTGGTAGCACACTGAGGAGGGTATTGAATGGCGCATGTTTCAGTGATAGACAAGTTATCATTTGCAACTCACACATAGTTAAAACAAATTAGACTATATTTTGCATATTCAAACAGTAATTTGCGAGTGGATTGTGAAAATTGGGCACATTTCTGTCAGTACAGACAACTGCAGGTGCTCATGACGCACAGCACCCCATGATGGAAATCCAGTTCAGCTTGCTGGCAAATGACCAGCCGCTGCTCTTGCATCGTCAAGGCGATACAAAGCATAAGTCTAAACGCAGAATGTCCACGATCTACAGGAACGTCAGGCTCCGGAATCAATTGCGACACTCTGCCCATGTCCTGTGCAACTGGCTGAACCCATCGCATGAGGCAACCAGCAAGGTGCGCACCATTCGAGTATCAGCACCGACCGCAGCCATGTTTGCCCATCCGATATTCCGCACCATGGCCACTTTCCTGGGCTCTGGGACGGACAAATAATAGGCGCCGAGCGCGGATGGCACAAATTGCTCGTGCGAGTCACGTCATGCACGGCTTGAATTTATGTTGCCCCATGTAGAGTGCAAGGACTGTCAGTTCGGTCCAGCCATCGATAGATGGTTGCCATTCCACTTTGCAAACCGTTGAGACGTCACTTGCCATGAACCGGGTGGCGCGCTTTGGGGGCCAGTCGTCACACAAGGGCGTCATGTGGCGGCGATGGGCTCAATGCAACCTACCAAGCGTCGTTCATCAGTGGAAGTTTACTCCTTGTGAAGCGGATGGTGCGCATAACAGTAATTGAGAGGGGTACGAAACATGGGCTGGACCGCCCGTTGTGTCCTGGCAGGACGGCGTGCTGCATGCGCTAATGACAAACGCGGTGCAAGGAACTCATCAACGTCAGAGATTGCGCGCCATTCTTCCTGCAGCCACCGTGGCGCTAGTTCGCCTCCTTAAACTCAGAGAAGCTGGTTCAAGCCAGCGCATCAACGTACTGCGCAGGCTCGCCATGACTCTGCTCGTCCCAGAAGCAACTTCTGGACCGAGTGTGGTGTCAATGCAGACGCTGGTTGTTGGGCATGCTTGCGCATGATGGCAGTCGTCGGGACAAACGGCGCAAATGCCGTTCACAGTGCGCACCCAACCGCGGTTTCTTTTCGACTCAACCCCGTCCTTGCTTGCCAGCGGACCCCTCGGTCCACCCTGCCGATGCGCAACGATCGGGGCCCCATCACCAACCCCACCGTCAGCGGGCGCATCATCGTCACTATGCGCCAGCCCTTTTGCCCAGTCGAGTCGGTCTGGCGCGTCAGACTCGGGGCCACTCAATTCGGAGCGCAAACCCCACGCCGGCCCTGACTAAGCCCCTCCCCCCTCCCAACCGCGACCCCAGCGGCAAGAGTCGTCCCGGTTCGCGCACACACACCCCGCCAGTCCCTTCTCCCTCCCCACCCCACCCCGCCCCTCCCCAAGAGAGCCACCGGCGGCGATTGTTTCTTCAGCCATCGATCCCTGCCGAGTGGCTGATGAGGATGATCATCCCTCCCGGATCTCCTGAGATCCCCCCGCGCTTCGACCCCTCCGACCCCTCTGCCCCCACCTGCAGGCCGTTCATCGTCTTGGTGAGCGCCTCCAGCTCCGTCTCCACGTGGCCGCGCTCCGCCCGGAACTCGCCGCCCCCCGCCTCGCCCGCCATCGCGAGCCGCGCTGACGGCCGGAAGAGCAGATCGAGGATGGCCGAGCCCGGCCGATCCGCCAATCGGATGCCCTGAGCCTGCGGATGTCGGCTTGGGGAGGCGCCCGGGGGGGCCGCGAAAGGGCGAGGTTGAGAACTGGCCGCTGCTGCGGCGGGCAAGGGTGTGTGGGTGGGTGGGTGGGGGTAGGGGTGGGGTAAACTGGAGGAAAGGCGTGAATGGGGCGCGTCATGAGCGTGAGAAGGGGCCGGGCAAGCCCGGAATGCCGACATGCTTGCCCGCCGACTTTTTCCCCGCCGCCTCTTGTTGCGGGGAGGCACAGAGAGCTTTCCATTAAATTGGGATGGCTTATATTAAAAGGTTTGGACATTGCAAGTCATGCCCCACCTGTGGTATGTCCAGAGTGCTTGTCCCACTTTTCTCAGCCGCTCAAGGCACCCAACGTATAATACCTCCTTTTTTTCTTTTGAGAGGAGACGTGCGGAAACTTTCCGCTTGGAGGGGGCTGCACATTCGAGCGTTGGCGCATGGGCGGCTCTTATTCTGAAGAGTGCGCGATTCGGTGGGCACTAACTCTGTGTGCGTTAGTGCCACAGTGTCCTCAGTCAAATCAACAGACGAAACAGATTGTGCAAAGTGGTAGCTCTTTTGCCAGCGGTTGCACATGACAATGGTGGCGGCTGCCGGCGGGGGGCAGCTGATGTGGGCCACACACAGTGTCCACTGTGGCGCTCCCACACGTGCCACCACACACGCCATGGCGTGTTGGTATCCCCACAGCATGCAACGTGCAGCTGGAATTATAAAACAGTAGGCTGGCACCCGTCCCAGATACTGTGCTTTCAGAATGCCAGTGACTCTGCATGCCGGAGCACGTTTGACAGCTAGTCATCAAGCACAAAATAGCTCCCCGTTAGAGCCATTCCAGCCTTGCGAGTAATTGAAATTGTGATTGGTTGTGTAAATCTACCATGCAGCTTTCGGTGGCACGCGCAAATCGCCAAAACATGCTATGGAAGCCTATTTCTCTACCATTCTGGAGCGTGCCCCTCGTCCCAGTGGCGCACTGGCCACTCCAACGTCATGACTGCGCTGTAACCAACGCGTGAAGTACATGTGTAGATTTGTACTTGTACTAGTTGCACCGATTGCAACCACAACGTGCGAGCGTGTGTGAGAGTACATGCTTGCCTTCATCCTTCCAAATATCATCGCCTTTCATCTGTACTGGCTGATCAACCACTTGGCAATTGCACCATTCCTCAAGTGCCAGAGCATACGGTAGTCTGCCACTCATGTGTGCGATCTAAGACCTCAATATATTGATCTCAATCACACGCACACGAAGCCATTCTTTGTGTTTGAACTTCGAATGAATGTGTTTCCTCCTGCCCGCCCAGCCAGGCGCACCCCAAAGCACTGAGGTCTGTGCAATCGCAATTAGTTTCTTCCAAAACATTCCCTGCGTCATTTTCCTTTCTGGATTGTCATGTTCGTATGTCTAACGGGGGCCACCACCACATAACGATGTACCCCCACAAGCACTGCCGATTGAATTCGCCGAATGATTCATTCAGAATATGGCGCCTGCCCGCCAGTTTTTCTTGGTCCACACATAGCATTTGAGTCCGTTTTGAATTCAAACTATCGGCCAAAAAAATCCATCCTGAACGTCGTTTCGGACCCCACATCCTGCAAAGAAGATTTGATATCACCCCAAGTGCGACAATGTCCATCAAATGTGCTTCAAACTCGCCCCTGTGCAGACGCATGAAATTCCGTTCTCCAGGTGAATGTCACGATGTTTGGCCTTCTCGGCGGCCATGCATCGCTCAAGTGCCTTCTTCCGTCCAACAAGACGAAACCAAACATCTGGCACCAACCTCGAGGCTCCTGCCACCAGGCCAACTGATTAAATCTCGGGGGGCCTTGCCCACCCGTTTTTACCGATACTTTACCTATTCCAGTTTATCAATCGGGACGGGATGGCGCACTCAGGGCGCTGGACCCAGTCTCAGCAACTAAAACGTTCAGACACACTCTTTTTCCAGGCACTCTTGAAAGCCCTCACACCGGTTTGCCAAATGTCTCTCCTTAAAATAAAATCAAGCCAAATATCTTGGGTAGAGGTGGGCGGGAGCGAAAAACGAGATAGCCACAAACTCGTTTCGCCAACCTTAAGTCCCAAGTTCCCCGTTTGCCCAGATCACTGTGAACCAGTTTTTCCACTGGTGCAAACTGCAGCTCAGTTCGGTTCCTGGGCTTTATAACCAACCGCGACTGGTTCGCCCAGGCGCTGCCCATAACTTGACCACAACTTTAAGAGTTGCGCCAAACTCTTTCTCACTGAGCCACTGCTTTCCAAGCTTGAGAAACGGCAGCGCCATCCATTCTAAATCCAAGTGCACCCAGTACTAAAACCTTTGCTGGCCGTCCAAAGGTTCCCACCCAACGGCCCTGTTCCCGATTTAAACCTATTCACTGCATTACATTTCGCAAATTTCGCGACAAGGTCCCAGGGCGGCACCCGGGCAGGGCTCTGGCGAAGCTCCCAGCAAGCTCGCGCATCTACAGGTGCTCGTACCTCAGCTACGGGACGAGCAAGTGCCTCACAGCAACTCTTGCTTTGTGTTGAAAAGGGACACCGCCAATCTGGTGGGATCCAATGCGGGTAAGAGGGCTGTAGGGGTGTGTTCCACAACATGACCCCTACCCGGGGATGCGCGTCAGTTTGTACCCACGTCACACCGCGTGGGACCTGCCGCTCCCTCCTGCCTGGGGCGCTTTGGAGACCGGACACGTCCAGTACATATGCATGAACTGCACAGACTGCACAACCATGTACGACCAGGAAGCGGATTCATGGGTGTCCCTGGCAGTACAAATCCTTTGATAACAGTGGGTGTGCGGTCCAGGCAGCCCCGTCCACATTCTGGATCCAAGCCCGGCTTCGCGCAGAGGCGTTACAGACTCGTTCGCATGTGCTTCGCCCCGGGTATCGACACGTTGCAGGACAGCTGCAGTGTGCGTTTCCTTGCTTGCGCGGGCGTTAGTGTTTTCGTGAAGAAACAGATGAACGTGACGGCCCGCTGTCCCGCTGAGATCGTGGGTTCGGCAGCATCAAACGTTCGTTCATCGCTGCACAGGAGGTGCCGGCAACAGTGAGCTCAGGCGGGTGGGACCCCAAGGACCCGGCAGCTTCGTTTCAGCTTCTGTACAGAGAGAATACCAGTTACAAATGCCACGACTGCATCCGATGCAAGGGAGACCGTAAGCGGCGTTGCCGTCGCGTCGCTGCGACTCAACTCATCACGGAGGCCAGGACGCTCCCCGCAGCTTGCTGCCCATAGGGGATGTAGCTCAAGACGTACCTGGACGCGAGACAGGCAGCATTCAGCACGTACACGGAACAGAAAGAAGACACACAGTTGATCGGAGCCACACTGACTTTGCATCAAACGCGGAGGCTCCGTTGTGAAAGTTGTGACCCTGTCAGTCGGCAGGTGAGTTTCAATCTAGGGCAACAACAGAACAGAAACTGAGACGCAAGTGACAACAAGCAAGGAGATGGGAGCATTAATCCGCTGCCAGAAGAGAAACATTAGTAGATATGAAATGAAATGATGCCCATGCTCTTGATTCCAGCCTATGATCGTGACTACTGCGCATTTCCCTGTCTGACAATCACGATTTCACGTGCGACAGAAGGCAGGACGCGCAGTCTGCAGCTGTCGAAATTATGCTCATGGCAGTTGCCTTACCATCCCAGAGCGATGACTTGAATGATAAGCAGGAATATGACAGCAATAACTTCCGCAATCTGCAGCAAACAAACACAACTGCATTCGTCAATGACACCAGCAGCGGTTCTGCAACTTGGCATCTCCAGTTTGGTTCCCGCACACAGACACTGCACAGTGTAGATATTGATTCTGCCTTGTGTGGCATGTTCAAGTGGAGATAATATAATGGTATTGTCATGCCTGGCGCTGGGGCATGTAGCCCACCTAAGGAATTCAATTGGACAACTACCTGTGCGCACTTGCATCTACAACGCAAGTTCCTATAGAATGTATCTGCATCGGCAAGCGTCGACAAGGCCCTCATGTCTGCGGATAAACTATGTTGAATGATATGCAGCAAGACAATTCACACACAGCCACTGGCGGTGAGGAAAACAAAGGACTAGTGGGAAGCTGCTGCTGCAAGACATCTGTTTTCTTACCAATACAGGAGTTCGAGCACAACAGAATAATGGACAATGTGCATGTTCGTTTGTGCTGCTATGACCTTCATGACCTTAAAAAAAACACCTTCTTTAACGTGCTACGGACAGGTGACAAACGACACATGAAATGGCAGAGACATTAGAAGATGACACAGCGATCTTGCTTTGTAAGCCAAAGGGTGCTGCACGCAGCCCGGCTGCAACCGAAATCTGTGAGCGATCGGTGAATTATTGACAAGCAACAAAATCAATGAGCCGTTCTTGAATGCCAGGAATGTGCGAACTCACCCCTTCCAATTTAAAGGCTACATACAGCGTCAAGATCATCGAACCCACATATGCCAGCGTGGCAAGTATGCGGTTGCTCTTCATTATGCTCTTCAACTGCAGACAAGGCAGCAGCCAACAGCACCATCAGTTGCACACCCAGCACCCCTCACACATCAGCCCGGCACTGCCTTGAAGGGACAATGACAGTGCTGTTCCCTGATCAGGCTGGGCAAAATTGCTGTTCTTCCACTGTACATGGATCGATCTTAAGTCTAAGGGTGAAAGGCCTCACATGCAATATCCAGCGGACGCTGGTGCAAATTTGCTGCCATCAGCATCGTTTATATGGCACGGATCATTCCAAAATTACAATGCATGCCCAATTTAATTTGAAATCATTCACTCTGTTACTCTAGTTTCTCTTTATCATGTGCTGCATTTTCCGCGCATTGGCAAGTCAAACAGAACAAACTGATGCATGGGCAGTAGCAGACCCTAAATTTCTGTCCTCACTGCAAAAGCGAAATGCACAATTAAGTGGAATTCCACACCAAAGCAATGGCAGTGATTCTATCAAGGCACTACATAGAATCACAACCACAGCAATCCAATGAGGAATGCACATCACCTGACGCCAAGGTCCCATCAGAAAGAACGTACTGCAAGAACGAACACAAATTTCTTTGGTCGGCCAACTGTCAGGTTACGAAACCCAAGCATTGCCCTAATGCTGCTTGAGCCCCATTTTGCAAAGCTCATCGACCCCAAGGCGAGTTGTAGGCAGTTTGTGTTCTGTGTTGTCCTTCACTTTCAATTGTGTTAGAACAAGCTTGTGCTCTTCCTCAGTGGCTGTGCTGCCTTTGTGACCAGGAAAAGGAAACATCGTGTCCGTCTTTGGTGACAGAAAACACCGTCTCACAGCTGCAGGTGTCTAGACAAAAAGCACAGCAGATTCCATGCACTGCAGCTTACAACCTGCAAAACTTGTCAAGCAAAGTACAATCCCTCCTGACTTGAATGCCCAGTGCACTTCCACAGTGCCATGGCAGCCTTGAACAGCAAGAGCCAAAATGACAGCAAGCATCATGATCGACATTTGTGATCCATTCAACGCCTTCGCATTGCAGATGCAACAGGCACTCTTGGGCTTCATTTTCTGCGTCTAACATTGCCCTGCGATTTCAGCGAAGTGGCACAAGGCCCACATCTCCGTCTTTAGGACGGGACTGGACTCCTCAATTCTTTGAATGTAATAGGACACAGCTGGGACTAGGCACCTCCACACCAATGGCTGGATTAACATCCACTCTTCTCACACTTTCTCAGCATGGTGTAGTCCACGAGCTCTCTTTTGTCATAGGTTGTGGCAATCAATAATTTGGTGGTCTGCAGTTGGAAAAATGTTTGATTGAGTGCAGGGCCACGTGAAATGACCACCGTGTCCATCCCACTGCCTGTGCTTACATATTTATTCCTTCTCAACCTCGTGCACTTCACATTCTTATGGCTATCAAGCTTACTACCACACCTATTACTCTCACACCCCCACAGCTTGTCGTCAGTCGGTTGCTCAGACATTGGGTTTGGAAATTTGGAAATGAAACCTAGCTAACTGCACATGCATTCGAGTTGCTGACCTTGGCATGAATGGAGATCGCATTGTGGAAAATCTATTCACACAGTTGCGCCCATCGGAACCTCACAGGCGCAAGGGTTGCGCTTAGTCTTGTCCACAATGCAATCAATTTAACAGTGAAAGCAACAACTCCAAGGATTCACATGCACTCATACCTGCCGAACAGAAGCAAGCTGCCCAAGGTGTAGAGAATGGCAAATGTGGTAGGCACAAACCAAAACACGAAACCCTAGATGGCCAAGCACATAAAATATTGTAAAATAATGGAGATGCAAATCTGCACAATGGACATAATGAACCAACAGAGCAAGGTAAAACAACTTTGATATTAAACATGACAATATAACAAATCTGATGCGCAAATGGTGGTGCAGAATAAGCACATAAGATCTGAATAGAACCAAGCATAATGCACTGTGAAGCTTTGTGGCCAAACAGCACATCCTGCATTCCACAGTCCAAACACAATTCCAGTGTGTGGTATCCCTTTGGCTTTTGAAATGCAACAATAACCAGGACATGGCACGCACACACTGATGACGCAACTGACATCGGGCAATACGATGTGTCGCTTGACATCACAAGGTCACAGCGGTTGACCAAACGCTGATTGTGGTGATAATCTAAGAAATTCAAATGCGACTCGACTCACCAGAATCGTGAAACAGAGCCCAATACCGGCGCAGATTGAGAATCCATAGAGCCTCTGGCACAAATACAGAGAAGGTTGGTTCCAGAGCTGGAGCCTGGACATATTATTCAGTGTGGACACTTCTTTCAACAAAATACGTGAAAACTATTCAGTGGGATATTCTCAGTACAGCATCTTTACAGTAGTGCACAGCTGCCCCCTTCTGCTTTTGGTCAGGGAAAAGGCAAGGAGACAGACACCTTGATCTGGTAGCAGATGCACAACATCAAGACGTCTGTCTGGAACTGACAGCTTCTTGCAATGGTTTTCTGAATGTTTGTGGCAATGTAAAAGCTGCAGGCCAGCTGTGCCACACCAGTTTGCCACATGCAACGCAAGGGATCGCTGTTCAGCTCAGTGTCTTCGTCTGAGTTTGCCAAGAAATGATGGATCAAACTTTGAAAGTTTTTTGCTCTCAGAACAAATGGCACAACGACAAGACAGAGGCAATCACCTCAAAAGTGGCCTCAGGCCAGCAATGTGACAAAGAATATGGAGCTGCAAATGCCACCAATGTGGAACTCATTTGATGGTTTTCTGAATCAACAATGTCTTGGAATCACCAAACACAAGTGTTGTTTTGGATAGCATCTGAGAATGTAACAAGTGCCACCGAGCGACATGGTGTAGAGTGAGAAGAGCAAAAGAGAATGTGCTAGATTGCCTTGTGTTGAACAGGGGACACCTATTCAACTGAACGTCAGCAACAAAGCAACACTCTGCAGTGACTCCTGTCCTCTTGAAGCAATTTTTGGGTACAGCTAATGCTACTTCCAATTTGCAAGTTCATACTGCCAGTATTACTGCCTGTACTGCTACTACAAGCATCACCAGTACTAAGCGTTGTGCACCAGGTATCGCGCCCATAGTAAACAAAAGGGTTTTCTGAGGATATCCAAGCACAGAGTTCCATAACATTCTGTGGCAAAGTTATTCAGTGACAAAGCCCCACACTTGCACCCACAGGCCAATGACAGACACCCTTGAACATCAGCATCGACTGACGCCTGTGCCTATTCTGCTGGGCTCTGCTCAGAGAGGATTCAGTCCAGTGCTTTTTGCTCAGAAACTAATTATCTCTGTGCACTGCATTGCCTGATACGGTCCGACTCACAATCTGCGAGCCAGGTTCATTTGCAGGTTGCTGTGCAAAACGGAGTTTGGCATGCTGCAACATTGATACTCAGCTCCCGGCATAAGATCGTGAAAGCCACTGCCTATGCCCTTTTCCGAAAGTTGAGGAAATGTGCTGAATAGTGAAGGCCGCAGAGGTCGCCCCTCTCACGTTGTGCAACTGGGTGGTGTACGCAATTGCAACTGGGCATACTGAACAGACACCGATTCATCTTTTCTGTGCCAACATCGCCTGCAAGTTGCAAGGGCTATGTTTCCAATTGGTTTTTTCATGACTGGAAGTTTGCATTGAGTCCCCGTGCCAAGGCCAGATGCCCTTGCCATGGTTGGGAGAAGAGCTTGGCTTGACTTTCAGGGCATCCTGGACGATGCACTGATCGTCAAGAGTCAGCAAGATAGACCTTTAATAGGTTTCCTCTCTTGAGCAGATGTTTGAGATATTTGTACCCAGGGAACAGGTCCTGGGGCGCATCAGCGTGGTTGAGTACAGGGTACAATGCTGCCTCTCAAAGTGCTAGCGCCACTTTGGCGGTGACGAGATCATTGGGTTGGGGCAAGCGTTGAGGTCCCGCGGGCCATCCCACATCGGCCCATGCTTCCCAGTTTGCATGCTTCGGGGTCAGAAACGCACCTTCCAGACGTCCTCTGCGGGAGGGCCCGCGGCCACCAGAGTCGACGCAGATTCGGCTCTACGCGACGCGCGAACGCGCTCTCAACAGGACGCTTCCATATCCACTCATGCAGCCCACGCCTTGTCCGGTTGGAAACTGACCGGAAACGAAAGTAGCCCCCTGGGCGCCTACGGTGCGAGGGACCCCAGCCCAAGTCGACCCCAACACCATGAGCGCGGCCTCGCTGTATTATGGGCTGGGCCCCTCGCCGCCCATGGGCCCGCTGCGTTCGGGCTCGAGATTCTGCCTGCCGAAGGCGGGGACACGCGCGATAGCTCCGAACCCGCTGGCCGGCACCTTCCCGGCAAAGGCGACAGCAACGACCAGGAACGCCCTGCGGCCGAGAGAGGCCCGCGCCGGCGAGCGATCCGGCCGTCGGCAGCCCACAGGAGCGGTGCAGCTCTGCGGGATTGCCCACCCACGCAACGGCGCCGCCACACCACCTGCAAACCGGACCACAATCTCCCCACCTACGCCCCTCTCTTCCAATTGGGCATGACAACGCGCGCACCAATTTCCGCAGCGCGCAAACCAGCCAAGCTACAATTTCCTCCAACCTCCGGCGATCGCCCCTCCCACGACACGCTTCCTTCCCGTCCAAGCGCTGGCCCCCAAATCGGCTCCTTCCCCGCACCGGCGCCGCACCACCCCCGCTCTCGTTGCGTGCTCGCCTCTTCGCATCGGAGGCTCTATATCATCTTTTCACAGCATGGAAAGGAGCCTCGAATACATCTGCTTAGGAGGTGTTGTCCACCTAAGGGGTCGCCCTTGTGTGACATGTTCCCTTCCCTCTTTGTAACAAATCTTGCCCCACCACTCCCCCCCCACCCCACCCAGCCACCCCCCCACACACACCTGCGTCTTGCTCAGCGTGGTGGACTCATCCAGCGACTGCCAGAAGGCCTGCAGCCCGGTGGGCTCAGGCGGCTCCTCGCCCAGCACGGCGGACCGCACGGTCGTCAGGTGCTTCTTGACCCACTCCGACATCGCCGCCGCAGCCGCCCGCGCCGCGGGTCCTGGACCTGCGCCTCGAGGGCAGCCACAGGCGCGCGGACGGCCGCTGGAAGGGGCGCAGAGCCGTCGAGGAGGTCGGGCGCTGAGCGCAGAGCGTGCTTCCGCCCCAGCGTCTTGCGCACGCGCAAGGTAAGGGTGCTCGCACCCGGGATACCTCCCTATGAAGGTTCGTTTGTTTACCCTTTTTTGCCTGTTTAAATCGTGCATTAACCGTATTTTTTAAATTTTTTTTCAATTGAGCTCCCTTTCCATGGACGCTCCCGAAGCCCGCTGTGGCGTGCCCTGGGCGAACGTCGACTTCGTTGGTTCACCGGTTTGGGCGCCCAGCCCTACCTTGCGAAAGCATGCCCTTCACTGAAGCGGCAATATCGTTCATATACTGCTGAAAGCAAAACTGTTGGGGAGTTTGAATGTTGGGCAATGCACAGGAGGCTGGGTTGCAGCATATGGGGCAAAGCGAGGCGGGTGGACTTCTAACGGCATATAATCTATGTCCACGCAGGAGAGCGCCTGAGGCAGAAGTTCAAACTATAATGAAACAACTTGTTTGAGAGGCCACATTTGTATCATGAACTAGTTAGTTTTCCTTCAAAATTGGACCATTGCCCCAATGTCGTGGCAAGACATTGCCTACACATTCACTATATACTGCGAAAGTTTTTATGGACAACGGATAATTACCGGCCACATGGCAGTACTTTGGGCCCTTGCGATTCAGGCCAAATAGTCGAAGGTTCTCAGGTCTGGCCAAAACAGCCCCCAAAATGGGTCCTTGACCAGGTCGGCTTGCGACTCACGGTTCGCAGCCCAGAGTGGATATTTGTGGCTGGCGTCTTGGTGGCAGGTCGAAAACATTCCTCCTAAAGGTGTAAGACCACGAAACCAGATTTTGCACCTCTCGATCGTCGATCCCGACCGTGTTTTGAAAGGGCTTATAGGTATAGCAGCACCGTATCGTAGACCCATAAATCGGCGAACTTCGCAATTGCAGCGTTTTCAGAAAGGGCCACCGCTATGGGCAAGATCGCTGTGGGTGCAAAGACCACAACGAAAAGTTTGGGAGAATGTTATCGTCCCCTCACTGTGTGTCAGCCAGGAGATCGTTGAAACTGGTTGTGGTGTGCACATGCAGCAAGCAGCATTTTGTGCGCCGTTCACACTGCTTTCAAAGGTGCCGTTGCAATTGATACAGAGCTGTTGCAGCAGAGTTTCACCCGCAGCATTGATAGACCCAAGAACATCACCATAGCGATACGTGGGTCCTCCGATAAAGGATCCAATTCCTCCATTGTCATGTTTGGCAGGGTTGATGCCTGATTGGAGAGAGGGGTCGCATGCATGGGGCGGGTACAATTAATTGGAGATCTGTGTTGAGCACAGAGCTTGCGTCGCGTGCAAATATCCCGTGGCTAGTCTTTAGGCACCAGGAGACCTATAGGCAGTGGGTTTCCAGATTCCACGCATGTCGGTGTGTCGCCGTGGAAGATGGCTGGGATTTCGAGCATCCATTGACGGCGGTGTGCATACCTAGGGGCCCTGTCTGTCGATAGTGCATTGCGAAGGGTGTCGATCTTTGGGCCAGACCCCGAGAGCCGAGGCAAATGTCACCCTCCAATACTGTGAAGACCATCGGAAGGGACGTCAATTCAAATATTCAAGTTCCGGGGCTGAGTCCTTCGGCTTCAAAGTAGTACCATATGCCTGAATCTTGTCTTCTGTTTATGAGTTTTTGATTGCATTGACAAAGCATATAGTAGATACTCTGGTCCAATTTCCACGGAAAAACAAAAAATCACATGATACAAATGTGGTCAGTCAACAAACGGTTCCATTTCATTACAGACGGAGAATGTATCCTGGAAGAACTTGCAAAGGGGCTCAAGGCCGTTATCTTGCACAGAAACGAATTAACACACATATATGTGTTAATATGTTAAAAAATAAATAACCAGATAAATGCATGATCAAATGAACGAGTCAAAGCATACAAACAACGGCGTTGGCTGAAATTTACCCACTTCACACCAGTCCTTCTGTATCATGCAGTGGGAAGCTAACAAGGACATGGCTCTCCATGAAATCGCCATTTACTTGCGCATTACTCTGGAATTGAAAAGGGAGTCAGCGAGCAGGTGTCGATAACCAATGGAAAGTGGCCAAATTGGACCTGCGAATCGTCAAAAACGACGGCCTGGGTCCATTTTTAGACAATGCAATCTTCCATTCCATGACGCATGATGAGGCTGCCACATATATGAATGAATGCATGTGTCCATACGAGCCAACGTGAAAATACGGCACACCAGCCCAGCCACCTGCCGATTATATGGACATGAGCGTGGTGCATACCATGCGCAGGTACTGCCATTGTCTGTCGGTGCGAGCACACATTAATATATGTTTGCTATATCATTATATGTTGCGACATGGAACCTTACGTTTAGAGTATCGCAAACGCAATCGAGCGGTTCCATGTTCAGCCCCTTGCCACGCTCACCCCACTAGTGGGGTATGAGTGCTCATGCCATGGCGATGATAAAATAGTGCTGGCAAGCCACCCCACATGGCGCCAACAGTTGGTGTTAGATACTAACAGCTGTTAGCTGCTGTGCTGTAGTGAATAACAGCTTCTTACATGCCAGTTCTATGTTCGGTTGCCCACGGCAATGGTTACCAATCAGACGCCATTCGCTCCCGTACATGTTTTGGCAGACCTCATGACCTCATCTCGACCTCGCGACACAATTTCTCCCCTTTTACAGTCGGTTGAGTTTGAAGTCAAGTCAGATTGTGCGCACCAAGAGCGCTCAGCGTCGTCTGTTGTGTGTTACATTGAAAGAATGGAAATCCCCCGAGGCAGTGTTGGACATATGGCCCTGCAACCTTCGCAGGACCACTGTCTCCCCCGCCGAAAATCCAGCTAAATATATTTTCTCTTATATAAGAGAACAGTCCCGACTTTGAATTTCCTGGGGCTGTGCGGCGACTGACGTCCATACGCTGCTCTCAATGACAGGCGCCCGTCACCAGGATTTCCACCTGCCGCACACCATGAAGTTCCATTTAATTCAGTTGAATTCAATCAAATCACGCCAAATAGGCCATTTCGAGGATTTTAGAAGTAACGGAATTATGTGGCATAATTTATGTTACGATCGAAATTCCCAAAAAACTAGTGCATGCAAGAATTGTCGTGCAGTACGCGTCTAATTCACAGGGACTCAAATGCATTGGACTTTGGGAGGGGCGCGAGGCGTTCGAATTGGCCGTGCTGCACGGCCGGCACTGCAAGTGAGCGCCAAGCCGTCAGAACTGTTGGGCGCAATTCAAAGGGGAGGCAATGAAATCGTTGTGCGATTCCAAATCTCTGATCGCCCGTCCGCATCCCCTCCGGAGGGGAAAATATGTGTCCTAAAGTGCGTCTAGTATAGAGTCTACTCTAAAATCTACGTAGGTACAGTATACTGTAGAGTCTCTAGGACCTACTATAGAGTGAAGAATCAGCAGATCTGTTGAGGCAAAGACGCACTGACCTGTGCAAGCTTGCTTTATTCCACGCTTGCACGCTTAAGCGTGGCCTGGATGGGCTGTGGGCGAAAACTCGGGGGCCCTTGAACGAATAGCTCCGGGGGTAGAGTGTCTCAAGTGGTTAGGTCGCTTTTTGTCAATCCGCTCCTTTGCCCGACGTTTCTCCCAAAGATCGCCGCTCTCATTTCAGTTCCTCGGGGAGAATGGCAAAACGTGGCATCGCTGTGCCCAAGGGATAAAGGCACCACGGCATATGATTATAGCACTGCCAAGGCAGTGGCACATGATACAAAATCAGCGGCTGTGAGGCGATCGCTCAGCGACTTACTCGCCATGTGGAATCTGCGATCGGCATAGTGTGGCCCCTAACAGGCACTATAAAATTAACAACAGATGCTCAAAGTAGATTTCTATATTCAAGCATCAAGAGCACCGTCAGCATTGCTCCCATGGTGGAAAGCTTTGGTCACATACCCAGCGATTTCCGCCTCCATCTTGCTGTCTGGTTTCACACTGTTGGAGCTGGAAGAATCTCCCATGAGCAGCACTCGGCCGTCGGCGGTCACGAGGTCGCCTTTGTCATCAAATTCCACCTCCAGGCGACCCAAATACCTGAGGACATTGGCAACCGGAAAGTCACGGATTTGCCAAGTGGTGGCCAGGGCAGCCGTCGCAGGCCATCAGGTTCTATTATAGTGAGGCATTGAGCAACTAACATTGGCAGAAAACGGCATGTTTGCGATGCCAACTAGTTGCAGTACTGCAATGCCATTTTGACACAGAGTGATGCCGTCACAGTGCTTGCGATAGCATAGAAGCGGCTGTGATGGCATCAATTTGTGTCAAATGGCATCGCAATTGGCATCGTAAACAAGCTGTTTTCTACTGGTGTAAACAGTACAGCTATGTGTACTACCACAAGATTGAATTTTTCATGCTCTGATCTATTATCATTTAGTGAATCTGCACATTGCAGTTGCACTTTCTCCTGACATTCAATGCAGTGGAGCGTTCTCAAAAGCGTCTAGCAGAATTTCGCGATGCTCATCTCGGGGACTCAAACCGCTAAATTAGCGGGGAGCATTTCGCTTCTGCCATGCACCTGCTCCATAAACGCAAATTTTCCAGCTCTTTTTCATGAAAGCAATCAGATCGGATAAACTACATCTTGGCTGTTACCAAAAAAATTCCCCTATTTATTAGTTGAAGCCCGTCTGTTTCCAATCAACGCTTAACCTCAACCAGTATTTGAATATATTATTCACGTCCAAGACATTGGAAGCCTAAAACTAAGCCATAAGCACGGCTGATAGTCACCAACGAAAAGTTTGATAGTAACAGAAAGCATTTTCGCTGAGCAGGATGCGAATGGTATAATATTTATAGATAAGACCAGGCAGCGCCTATGCATATGCGTGTGTGAATGGAAACAGTACTAAACGAGCAAAATTGGGTGCGCCCAAAAGTGTATTTCGACACCGATATTCTGGCTTACCGATTCACGACCGGATTCGCTCCACAAGCGTCCTTTCGATGCAGCGCATGCGTGCAAATGTGACCAGTGACTGCCATCTCAACTGGAGGGTCAGGGTGCAAAACGCACGCACGAGTGCTGCCAAGGATACCCAACATGATACGATGAGACTGAAAATTTGAATTCTTAAACTGCCGCTGCACGAATGCCATCCCTTCAAATCCATGTGGGCGCGCGATTTCGGGTGTTCAAAATGGCCAATTCCTTGACGGTCCATTCTGAGCCCATTCAACGCCAACCTGGCTTCGCGATCGCACGCTCACCTTGAGGCGAATCCTGCCTGCACCACAGGTACCTTGCCGTTGTTGGCATGGTTCCACTCCCATGTCGGGTACTCTCCCCATGCCCCATCTGTATTGGCATGACCACCTGAGCAGCCCCATCCTTTGTCAGACTGAAGGAACCTCGCATTGTTCGCGCGTCTATCGCTGTCCGCGTGCCAGAGTGCTTCGGCGCTTTCGATAGGCACCTCGGATCGCAAGCCATTGGCAGGCTTGCCTTGTGCTTGATTGTGTGAGGCCTGCTGGAACTTTCCCGGAGTGCCGTATGGCATCGATGCCATACGTATGTAGACATGTAGGCATAATGGATGCATGTACATACCCGTATTTACCCGGTATTAGTAGGCACCCCCTATTAGTATCCACCCCCCTCTTTGGGGGTCGAACCCACGTTAGTATCCATGACCCGGTGTTAGTATCCACCCCCAAACCTCAACAGAGCAGAAACGACGGAAGCCGCGGATGGTGGCAAGGGAAGTCGGGGGCTGGTGTTGTAATTCGTTGCCCAGTCTGGACCAAACCTCGTTCCTTGCGATTCGCACATCAACGGGGACATCGGGTTGGGGCGGATGTTGTCGAGGGAGAATTTGGAGGGGTTCCCGCGAAAAGCCGCGCGGTTGACTGGCCGACGTTGGCGTTCTCAGCGCAGGGTCGCAAGGCAGCGACCGACGCCGCAAGGCACGATGATAGAAGCGGTCGAGAATTCAAAGCCGCCCTTGTTTCTGGATTGAACCAACCTGCTCCCCGGCCGGCCAGAGCAGGTTTCGGCCTGGCGCTTGGCACGGGTCCCCCGATGCCCAGCGCCAGGAATGGGCAGGCGACGGCATAGGTCGGGGCAACTGCCGTTGCAAGATCCCGCCTTGCAAAACTGGCCGTAAAATGCTGTGAAGGTGGGGCAAAACACATCTCACTGGCTACCAGGCCACAGACCCAAACACAGATCCCGTAAGCTTTCCCAGCCGCCATCAGCGAGGGAAAACGCCGCGTGTCGAGCATCGTCGCGATGTGGTGCCCCAGCGAGTCGAGACCCATGTCAGGTCTTGTTCTTTGCATTGCAGAGGCAAATGCGCCTGGAGCATTCCAGCGGACCCCTGACGGCCCCAATCGCCAGTCGCCACCAGCTGGTGCAGCCCCAAGTCAAGGCCGCCAGTTCCTATGAAGAGGCTGATAACATTCCGCACTAGCATCGCCATTTCTGTCCATTTTTGGGTATTTCACGGCCTATTTGTCAAAAATTTTCTTTGTCTACTCTTTGGAATCAGGGGTCCAAACCGCGTTAGTATACATGACCCGCTATTAGTATCCACAGCTCTTTTTGGGGGTCCAATACATGCCTACTAATACCGGGTAAATACGGTATGTAGACATGCACACATAATGTATAAATTGACTGTCGCATGGTATCGATATCAATGTGCATGTAAAACTCGTGCGCTGCGAGGTAACCGAGATGTGCGCATGCTTTTTGGCTGGGCGTCGGGCCGCACACGGTGCACAGTTCGCGAACTACCGCAACTCATATGGACATAAGCAACAAGGGAGAAGTACAGCATACTTGTCATTGCATCCATTCCTGGTAAAGCCCTGCGAAGCCCAGTTGAGCAACGAAGACCACAGCGGGCACCTTTGAGAATATTCAATTGTTTTATTCATGACATTCCAGCCTGCAGTGGCCACCAGGGGTCATATGCTGTTTGGCATGCCATTCCAATTCGGCACGGACGTTCGGGTTAAAAATCCACGCCAGATTCAGTGGAAACAATTTAGCCGCATATGCAATGCGAACCCCGCCCGCCACCTGGCCATTGCCCCTAAAATTGGGCGCATCGCTCATGAGCACCCTGATCAGGGTGAGGCAGACCAACACCTGTGAAAGCGACCAAAATTAGTGTTTTGCACAGCATTGTTCAATGACCTACATCACTTCCAAGGTGCGAGGGCAGTGTTTTGTCATGTATATGTTACCAATGCAACCAAAGGATTTGAGCATGATTCCGGCCGGTTCCTTCATGTGACACAACAGCGCTACACGGTCTATGCTATCAAGTGCCGCTTCCCTGCAAACAGAACTGCGCGGCATGAGCACTCTGTCCGGTCAAACGGCGACCACTCACCGTCCCAAGACATGGCGGGGCACTCTCCGCTGCAGAGCATCGCATGGCTGTGCCCTCCCACGACTATGTCGAGTCCGCGTATCTCTCTCGCCATGGAGCGATCAGCTTCGAACCTGTGGAAAACAAGCTCGCCGAGTCGGCGCCATCCCCAGAACGCCGGGCTGAAAGACATAATGACGCTGGCGCAAACACAAATGTCCCATGCCCTTCGTTTGCCGGCATGGAGCCGTGAAAGTGGTCAATGCCATGAATGCCATTAAGGTCATTTTCGGTTTTAAGCCCGATTTGATTCCTAACGTTTAGGAATTAAGAACTTGGGGTTGTATCTCCCTGGCATCTTTCATGTCCTTCATGAGCCCTTCATGACCTTAATATCCGGTAATGATAGGTATCCGACAATCCCCGGCACAAGACACTGGCGCGCGACACAGGCCCTATGGTACCATAACACCGGTGTTATGGTGGCACCGGCGTAACACCGGTGTTACGAGCTGCACGCCCACACAACTGCCCATTCCGCGCAGCTTCTGGCTGTGTTCAAGTGTGCCGAAATGGGACGCCCCATTTTCCTCAATGCGGTCGACCACATTGTGCATGTGAAGTTTACAACATGTCATCAGACGGGCCCAGCTCGTGCCATCATAACCGTGGTTTTGGTGACAGTTTTCAAAAGAGGCCGCAGGTGGCGCCAGGGGTGTGCGTACCCTTCGTGACTCAGCATGATGATAATGTTGACACCTTCGACGTCCCTGATCTTGTCCACGCACTCGCGGGCCTTCCAGTAATGGTCCTCCACGTAAGCGGGCCCTGGGTGGGAAATCGAGTTGGTGGACTCTGTGGTCACAGCGCATATACCCACCTTTGCCACAGGCATACTTTCTGTCAGTACTTAGATGATGGCATCCTTCATGCCTCGAAAGATGCCAGACACTCACAGTGTAACGCTAGAGTAAAGCGCTACAGCCTGCAGACTGGAAGTATTGATCAGAGCTTGTTCATGAGCCAGCGGCACATGCCGCCGAAGTGCTATTTAATACATTAGCGAATGCCACCGTAGTGTATATGCTTTTTTTGCAATTAATCTTGGTAAAATTTGTAGCGTTCTGCATTGGTTTGTGGCATCGATGCTTTCCTTTAGTATCAGTACTTGCCAGTGCAACATGGAATGTGGAAGTCTTCGCCTGTGGCTTTTGATTTCAGAATATCAGGCAATCATGGTTGCCCGCCCTACGTCCCAACTTCCCTATTAGAAGAATGCACCAATTCATCAATCGATCAATCAATCGATCAATCAATCAATAAATCAATCGATCAATAAATCACCAAATCCATCAATTGATAAACCATTCAAACAATAAATCAATGGAACAATTAATCAAATTTCGATTCCATGTGTTTCCACAATAATGTTCAAGGTAATTTGAGAGCATAGGCAACAGAAACCACAGGCGAACTTGAGGTTTGCACTGCAGGAAACCACCCTATACATAGGGATGATCGCGTGCTTGCTTTGAGTGGGCGCAAATGGCCCCAAACAGCTCTTGAAACTGCGTGGTGCCATGTCTCGCAATTTGGGTCCTTAGAGGGGAACGGCATGTTACGTCGGTGTCGTTGCTCAACACACCTAAGCTACCATCTATAAAGGACAGCGACTGCAACGATTCAGTCGTCTTCTTGAGTTTATGCATCATTTCCATCATAGTGTACTCACTAACGTATTGAGAAGAGCAGAATAGCAGCCATTCACCTTGGTCCAAACAAGGGACACAAGATGTTCCTAGCACAGCAATGAAATCATATCCATAACACTTCCACTATGCAACAAATGGAGATATCCATTCCAGCACCTTCTTTCCGCGGACTTGCGTGACGATGTACGGCTTGATGTAATTTCCAATCTCGTGCCCATTGGGGTTGAGATTGGCGCTGATGAATGGGTAGTTCAGCTTCTTGACGTGCTGAGTGAGGTAATCCACCCCGTGGTCGAAGTCGTGGTTGCCCGCCGCCTGAGATCAGGCACGCCATTAAATGCAAAGTGAAAACAACCAAACAAGTAAATAAACCAAATTGGAAATTATCCATCACGTACAAACAATACTTCGTCACGGTTTTGTGAGTGTCCGGAGGGAAAGGCCGAAATTATAAATAGGGTATCTACTAGTGTAGGTACCATCAATGCGGTGTAGATATTGAGACATTAGAGCTCAGCGGCGCAAATGTGACGGTGCCGCCACAATTTTGGTTTTCGTTGCCGAGCCGTCAGCATGCAATTTCGATTGCCTGGCCACCAACGGATCTGGCTCATGGAGGTGACATGACTGTGGAATCCTCATGGCAGATCCTGCCCAGCGCTGCGGTGAGAGAACGCGTTCGGCAGTGACGCTGCCGGATAAGTGAGCAGCGGTGCAGCACTAGCGCTCTGCTGCAGTACAGCTGTACTGCAGTACCGAATTGCAGCACTGCAATGATAACACTGAGAAATCGAGACCCGGAAGCCCCTCACCGCGACAGTGATCCCCAGCTGGTTCATGAGCACAGCTGTGGGTTCGCCCTTGTAGACGTAATCCCAGTGTGTCCCTGAGGATGCAAAGGAACCGCTCATGCAATCTCACCCACTGCGCAAGTAAAAGATCGGCCAAAATGCATGGTTTCGAGACGTGTCAAAATTGTGAAGAACTGCGTCAAAACGTGTGACATTCACGTACACTCGCTCAATCTTTACTACACGATTTGGTCGTATATTTGCACGACAAATGGAAGGTCTAACATTATTTTTACACTTGCTTCAATCGTGTTACACAGTAAAAAGTTTTAAATCGTGTGCTTTGGTGTATTTTTTGCTAGTGCTGTGGAGGCCCCCGAACGTGAAATTTCAAGTGAACAGTCGCTGTTGAAAATGTGGCAGAGCTCGCCGCTCGGGGCTTAAGCGACAAAACGTGGCAGGGATCTGAGGCGACAAGTCCCGCATTTCTCCACTTCAAGGAAAGGTTTCAAAGCTAGGAAAAATAGGGAAATAGGAAAAATAGGGCCAAATAACACGTTCTCAAATGTGTACAAAGTTCACGGGTTTTGTTATTTCCGTGTTTTTGGCGTGCAGAACACTGATATGTGTTTCCGCAAAAGGTGTTTTTTGGTCCCTTTTTTCTGGTGTTTGGGTGACAGAACATGGTGAAAAATTTTGCAGTGAAAGCATGGTGGTGGTTTACGACAGTGGTGAACAAGTGAAAGGTATTACACAGGATGTGATAAAAACGAGGAGAACAAGATACTGCATCAGGGCATCTGGTTGGTGCGTGTTTCTTCACCGGATGGCGTTTCCGCAACATGCCACAATGCTATCACTCAGGAATTCAACCCAAGCTGCAATTCTCGGTCAACTTTGGAACTGGCGTCAGCACCGCTGCGTGTTCTACCACTCTGTGAAACGATGTCAAGGATTCTTCGATATCGGTAACAACTGGATATAAGGTAAGAATTATGATAAGCGGCAACATATACGGTAAGAACTTCAAGTTCATACCGTTTATAATGGCCAATGCACAAGAAAAAGGGGCAAAATAACACGTGTTTAAACGTGTACAAATTTTACGGGTTCGGGTTACTTTCGTGGTTTTAGCATGCAGAACACTGATGAAATGCATATATATGTGGTCGCAAAAAGTGTGATTGGGCCATTTTTTGCTAATGATGTGAATAACACAGCGCGATAGTGGCCAACATGTCACCTTCGGTGGCCACTCAATAGTTAATGCGATGAAACCCTAAAGGGCAGCAGTGCCAACCACGCGTTGCTGCATCTGACAGGAACGATACATCGGCACCGTTACCGACATCAGCAACGTCGCTATGTCGTGACACATTGATGTCACGACACGCAATTATCATGAAATCACAATGCCAATTGGCGACACCGTCAGCCTGCGTGGCGTGGCGTTTCGCCACTGGCGACCGCAGTTTGCCATCCACTAAGAACATTTACTCCGCTGGCAGAGTTTGCCTGCTAACTACTGAACGGTTCTCATGTTTTGCAATACACATATAGGTATGTTTGTGCGTATGGCTGCATGATTAACATGCATGCGCATGAACATAGGCACACAGCAGCGCTGCGTGTCACGCAAATGTGGCACGTCGGCGTCTGGAATTAACATTGGGCGACGTGCCTGTGTTGTCGCTCGACAGCAACATGCATATGTGCACTTGTACATTGGGTTTCAAATGCGCACACGTGACCGCGGACTGCAGATCGCGGAGCGGGCACGCGATGAGCATTGCAACCGACTCACCAATGAAATCGTCCCCCGCATTGAGCACCAGAACAGGGAGTCCCTTTTTGCGCTCCGCCTCAATTGCTGCCTTCAGGCGAGCAATTCCGCCGTGACATCTACCTAAGAATATTCAACCAAGAAAGAAATTAAACCCTGAAAAATGCGGCTCTGGTGCGCACGATCATAGCAAATTTCCTTTTAATGTTTTAAATGTTAAGAAACAACACTACGTGCACGTGCATTCGCCGCAATCCGTGGAAGCTGTGCATAGTCCTCCGTTCCGCAGAGCTTTTGGAATCAAGCCGGCAAACTCACCTCAAACACCGGCAGGCATGCTGTGCAATGCTGTTTCATCAACGAACTTTCGGACATCTGCAATTTATTTATAACAATTTTATTTATAAATAAGCAAACGCCATGGACAATACTGCATTTATGCAGTATTGTCCATGGCGAAAACGATTCAGACACGTGGCGGAAGCATTGTTGCCATCGACCACACCGCACTAATGGACTGATGTGCACACTGCCAATAGTCGCGCACCCAATATCTTGGAATACTTCGCAGCGATGAGTGCCTCAATATTTCACGTCTGGGTAGCTCGTCGAGTCTCCCCTCTCTGTATTATACGCCATTAATACGGAAACTCCTCAACAGAATGCGCGGACAAAAAGTTGTGGCCTCACATATTGCAACCCATCAGCAATCATACATGCATTCCCAATTTCATTCTCAAATTGTCTGAATTGCTGAAAATCATGTACCAATTCTGGGAATCGCGTTGAATACGGACTAAATTCCTTATTCATATTTGCCATTTCGGTGTCATTTTTCACCAGTACACACGAGTGAACGCTGCCAATTCATCCGGGCGAATTTGCCAACAGCACAGTGCTTCGCTGTGCGCAATGGCATGCAGAGACAGCGCAGTGAAAGACACCTGGCGGCCCTGCCCCCCGCTTACGCGCCCAATGCGCATTGAGCTTACGCTTCAATTAATTTTCGCTGCAGATGAGATCCCCCTTTGGGAACATGTTGCGGCAAGCCGTGCTGCAACCTAGCTATTCGCCGGTTTACCTTGGTCCTTTGCCCACTGGTCGCAAGGGGCGTGCCACTCCGTATCCCCCTCAATGTGCGCGTGGAAGTCATTGAAATGCAAAATCACAAACTTGACATTTCCAGCCGCCTGGTGGACACCACAAAGAGCCAAAATACCTGCAAGGAGCGACCGCAGGTGTGCACATGTCATCTCCAGTGTCCCCAGCAGAATTGGGCAATCGCCCGGGTGTGCCTCATGCAAAAGCGACGGGATTCTTGCCGCGAGATTGCCGAAGTCTAGAGTGATACCCTGGTCAGTTGATGCGCGAATGTCACGACTTTGCGCTCCAGGTGCCATGCATATATGCACGTATGGGCCCATACGGTCCCAACGAGCTGGTGCTTCTGCTGAAGTCATTTTTTCCGAATTGGTGCAATTGCATCATCAAAGTTATGCCAATGGTCGAGGCGAGTGCCGCATACACCGATGGCGCTCGCGGCAGTACTTGGACCGCTAACTGCCAAATGATTTCGCAAACAACTCATCCTCCCGAGAACAACTCAAGAATAAGGCCGAATATGTCAAGAGTAAGGCGGAACAAGGGGGCCTAATATAGGGGGCCTGTCTGCGAATGCAGGAGCCGAGCATCGAATGAAGAAAGGTTTGTAACCCTCTCTCATCCTGTCCCAGCACTCTGGCAGCGACAGAAATCTGGCCACGTCAACGGGCGGCCACCGCGTCGCTGCCTGAAATTCAACCTCACGTACCTCGCCCGTTCACAGGGCCCACCTGGGGAATATGTCCCTGCCTCGACCGCGCACGCGTGCGCCACACCGCTTCGAATCTCCCAACGCCGCATCCGGGGGCGGCAAAGGAGCGCCACGGGGAGCCTGCCCGGCAAATCGCGCATTCGGCGCTCCCCGGTCGTCATCAGACCATTCAGCGCGCATCCGCTCGTCGGCGCGACTGCATCCCGCGCGCTCCCCGGAGACCAACCGCCCGGCCGCGAACCGAGCGCCGGACGCCGCCCCATTGGGCGCCTTGCAAGTGCAGCGGCGGGCGAGCCCTGACGGGTCCGGACGGCGCGACGCTGCCCGAATTCCACCGGGGCCCGGAATGCGTGCGCATGCAGGACTCGGTGCATGCGCTGGGGGGCGGCGCGCCGTGGTCGAAACGTAATTGCGCGGCTGGCGCGCCTCCCTGATTCGCGGCCAGCAAAAGGGAGGGCGGAACGCCGAGCGCGGCGGGACGGCGCCCAGGCCCTCGGCGCGGCGAATCAACCCTGCGCGAGGCATTCATGCAGATCCGTCCATTCCCACCCATGAACGCCGTCGCATTGTTCTGGGGCCCACCCAAGATTGGCCTACATACACTCACATGCCAGGATGACGCCCGCAGGGGCCGAGCCAGCCATGTTGGGCAGCTCTCTCGCGGTGCCACTGCCTTGGACAGGACACAGGGGCGGGTTTACGCGCACCCCACCGCCGGGCCCCGCCTGCAGGCTATCCCGATTGGGTCGCGACCGCCAAGATCAATTGAACTCAACCGGCTGACAGCCGTGTTTCAACGTCGGAGAACGCGAGCGCTGACTGAAGAGGTACGGCGTACGGCGGTCACAGGAAGGCCTCCATCTTGATCGCTGTGCATCATGGCGGGGGGAGGCTGACCGTCCGCCTGGCGACCGAGGATGCTGGCGGGGGCGGCGGAATCAGCCGCTGTTCGGAGCGCTCGATCCCTGGCATATCCCTCATGTGAGAATGAATCAGGAAAACATGTTTTCCTGTACAGTAAGGACGCCGTGAAGCGGGGCGACGCATCCGCATTTGAGCTCCCGCGGAGTCGCGGAGGCAGGCCCGCTGTGCAGGGCGCCCTGCTCGCAAAGGCCAATTATCGAATGCCTCCTCCGCCTTGCGGCTGCGCTCTCCTTGAGCGCGGACCTCCACGTGGCCGTCCAGCGAACCACCATCTCCAATTCGTACTTTGTGAGGCGTACTCGAGATTTTGTGCGGTGTGTGATTGTACTCCTTGGAGTACAGTCACAATCAGCACAAGATCTCCAGGCATGGGCACAAAGGGGATTTGGCTCCCAAACTGTCCAGTGCTTGGTACAGGAGCCCAAACACTTCTGCACATCCGCATCAATCATTTCTCATTGATGACCACACCGCACTCATCATGCATCCACATTGTCGTGTTTGTGCCGCCCCCGTGGCGCCGACGGTGTTGCGAACAGCTATCCCCAAACGTGCGAACGCCACCCCAGCAAGCTTGCAGACTATGCGGTACTTCACAACGACTTCCCACAGAGTCACCACTGGGTAGTTTGTAGATTTGAGCAGAGATGGCCATTAACATTTTCAGCGGCGGGTGTCCGCCTGACCTTCTTAACGCTGCCGTCAGAAACGTGCTACTGGCGCAGGACCACAAGTCGCCATTCCCCAACAAAAGCACCGTTTCCCGGTAGCTGTGCCATTAGCGGTACCAGCACCGTGAGAGGGTTTCACCAGCTTTCAGTTTCTGCCTAATGTACAGCATTAAGCTGGTAGTTCGCCCAGTCTATTGGGAGAAACTGGACCGCAGTTGAAAGCATCAAACGGCCCCAAGAAGCGGTTTCAATTGTCGGATGTGATGTCCATCTGACGTGAGGCGAGTGAAGTGTGCGCGACGTTATCGACTACCAAAAGATGCCGAGACTTGCTGCCAACTTTCACTCAGTGCATGCCACAACACAGTAGCACAATTCGATCTGCTGAGATACACATGGCCGCACACATATGTAATCAACATCGACTTCCATGCTTCCGTAGGGGGAGCAGGATGAGAAATCAGAGAAATCTTTGGGTTGCACTGCCTCGGACTCTGTCTCGAAGGACCAGATTTTTGCCCTACTGAGAATTTGCCCGGTATAAAATGTTGTGCACATGCAAATGTGCGGGCCTGTGCTACCATTCCTGCCACCGCGCAGGGTCCAATTCGCCTTTGAATTGGGCCGGAGCTGCAGGATTATCAGATGGAGTATGGTACACTGCCGAGTCCCGCTTAGTACCAAAGGCCACTCTGCCGTTCATTTCATTGCACAGCTGCCGATTGTGGGCGGTTGAAGTTGTGGGCAGCGACACAGCTGCGCCTGCAATGCACACTGAGCCGAGGGCAACAGACGACTGCGTGAACAAGGTGAATGGGGCGTATATCATCCTCGCCTATCAGGTGCACGGGCTGTGTTTTGTCATGTTTTGGCAAATGTGATTGATGTATTTTGATGATGACGACGGAGAACGCCTGCCGGCCGCCGATGTGCACATGTGGTAAGCAGCACCCGTGTACACCGAAGTGGATGCATGGATTTGCAGTGGAAGTGCTGAGCGTCAATTAACAAGTGATGGTGCGCTGGTGGTTCAGGCGCAATGGCAGACGCACTTGAACAGGCTTCCAGCCTTCTAATGCAGTGCTGTGTAATAAAAGATTCTTTGTACTCCTCTGCGGCAAATTTCAGTTGTCCTTGTATTACAACGTCAAACGCAGGCCATATCTGTGTAGCCCAATAAATGTCACGGGTTTGCCCAAACTGACGGTGCTACTCTCTAGGGACATCAACGAATCAATACTTTGCAGGGATTCATCCAGCCTGGGACATGAACAATCAATAGCGAAACACAATGGACATCTTGCACAGTATACACTGGATCGCACACACACCAGCACCTGACCGTTTCAATCGGAATTTGCCCTCGAAGGAGCCATATAGGGCGAATCTGCCGCTGGCAGTGCCCACGTTGATCTATGGGGGTTTTCAGTGTCATTCGGCGATCTTGGTGCATCGAGTGCGAGTACTGTTTGAAAATGTCAGAGACACGACCGACACTTCGTGGTTGCATTCACTGTTTAATTGCAAGAACTGCGACATAATACTATAATCGCATTGCACAGTTGTCCATTTCAATGCACTGTACACCCCTGATACGCAAATTTCAGCAATCTAGGCGATTTAACCACGGAATGAAATAGTGCTGCATGGCCAATTTTGCAATAGCTGGTGGCGTCGAATTGGGGCGCTGAGCTGGCAAGGACCACTGGCAGAGCACGCCATTTGGGGTTGCCAACTGGATGCCATATTGACTCGAAGTGGCGCCATTGCGATGGCATCAATCTAGCTCTGACGATATCCCAGAGAGTCAAATGGCATCACAACTGGCATCGCCAGAAAGGATCATTCTTCCGGTGAACACCGCTGAGATAGCCTTGTGGCTCTCACTTTCTGCACCGACGCGGACCTATTTCTAATCCAAAATCCGCGCTTTTTGGGAATTAATGCCCCAAAGCTGGGCATTCTTGCCACTTCAAAGCCCTCCCTCGCATGGGACACGCCTGAGTGCATCTCAATAAACAATGTCGCGTTGCTCTCGTGTGCCCATGGCATTAAACTTCAATTAGGACATTGTGTGCTGTCACACGAGTGTGCCAGGGATGTGGGCGATGGACACATGACTTGCGCCCATACACTCGCTCCGTTGTGGAGAGGTGTAGCCTGGGGCACAGGCGTGCACAATAATAGGGCTCGGTGGTGGTCGAGTACCCCAGCGGACAGGATGGTAATGAATGTGGTCCATCGAGGACATCCTCCCCTGGGGTGCAATGCTAAGTCTCTGGAGCCACCGGCATCCCATCACAGCTGCCATCCTGCAAATGGTGAAATGTGCTGATCGTCACCACAAGGACACCAAACCATGCCAAGAAAATTCCCACCCATAGCCAAACGGTTCAGATTCTCTTGCACTGGGCGGCAAACACGGAAGATCACTGGGAGAGAGGTGTGAATCCAAACTGACAACATGTGCCTCACCAGCCCACATTTACTGGGTGATGTTCAGACCAGCAGAGGGGCACATGATTGAGCATCAATACATCAGGGTAACTTCAGGTGAACAGGCTGCGGTTAGCAATGCCTGGCATCATTTATCAAACTCTTGCTGGGCAGACGATACTACAAACTGGACTGGCAATTCTGCATTCCCGTTCTTTTGATGGCGAAACATTTCATACCACATTCGGAAGCGCATCACAACATCAAATCATTGCACGGTGTGGGAGATGACGAACACTGCTGAACTGTGTTGCAATTGTTGCAACGTGTTGCAGTTTTTTTCCTCCAAACCTTGAACTGGGCCGGGTCGTACCTTGAATATCGCAGCAAGCTGTCAGTGGAGGCTGGGGCACATACACACATGTCCCCCTGTCACGCATTATTATTGCATTCGCCTGGTCCTCGGTCACAGACCTGGAGATGGCAGTTGTTGTCTCATTTCAGCTGGCGGTCAATGTTTGGCAACGTATGTGAAGCACAAGATACAGGGTGTGGTTCAGCAGTGCATGACTGTTGACACCCTTGCTGAATAGAGAAAAGGCACAGGCACCAGAATGTAAGCACATTGCCTGAAGAGTTTTGGTGCATGTTTTTCTCCTGGCTTTGTGGTGACCAAACCCTCAGCAGGAAACTGAACTCAACAGCAGCAGAAAAGGAACTGAGCAGCAGGCGGGGTTGCATTTTCTTGGGTGGGACCTGGTCTTTTTTCGCCCCTTTGGATGAGCTATGGGGCGATTGGCTTTCTCTAGGTTTTGACCACCGATTCAACGCATGGGCTTTGGGCAAGGATAGGCACATGATCGGCCGGACCACAGACAAACATTGCTTGATTGCTGCTGTGTCCATTATCGCCTCTCCAGGTGCAAGGCATTGTTTCATCTTGTGTTTTGGACCAAGGCAACAATCGGAATTCACACTATTCACAGCATGTACCTGTACTGAGTTCAGATCATCAGACAGCATCAGGTGTTCCAGCACTCTACAAGGATGCCATAATGCTTGGTGGAAAATTAGTAAAATAAAAACATAAAACAAAAGTTCTTGGGACACACTGGCACATTGTAGACAATGGCCTGGTACTCAGTGGGGGCAGCAGGAGTAGCATGTGTCAGGGGGTGAGTGCCAAACAAAAGTTCCTTGGTGCAAGAAGAATCCCCTAACATGCATACCTCTTCCTGGATCCGGTCCAATGTCCCTAGATCCTGTGTTGATGTAAGGACCACGCCTTATTGCGGCTGTAGACAGCGGCTTGTCAAAGTCCACCTGGCAGCCAGGATCCAACAAGGCGCACATTGTCACAAGTTCGCTTCAGAGGCGGTCCACAAGGCCCTCTCCACGCTTGGCACAAAGGACGCCCCGAATTCGCGGCATGTCTCAGGCATAATCACGGCCGAGGCGGGTTGCACCCACCTTGGCAGTGGTGGTTAGCCACAGTGGTATGCTCGCGGTCAGCCCGGCAAAAATAGCCAGGGCGGCAGCTATGCGAAGGTTTCCAGATCGCACTGATGGGCGTGGGGGCCGCATTCAACGCCAGAATCTGCCGTCGTCCTGTGCAGCGCAGGAGAAGAGGGCGGTTAGCGAGCACCCAGCAGACGTTGCAGGAGCCGACGCGGATAATAGCCAAGAACAATCTCCTTGTGAGTTTACAAGGATCTGGCAGCTCCCTGCTCTCTTTTCCTTTCTCGTGTGCTGATTGACTGGTCGATTGAAGGAAGCCAGAGCGCCAACGAGGCTGCGACATGCAGCCATGCGATGCCCATTGGCGTCCTGGACGCTCGATTGTAATACCCGGTGACCGCATCTCTGTCGCGGGTCAGGCATCCATCTGGCGACTATCAAAGCTGACAACGGCGGGGGCTGGGCTGCTCTAAAGACACCGCGAATGCGAGCACCGTCCAGCCCGTACCCACCGACAAGAAGGCGGTCATTCAGGACGCTCGATCACCGCTGCCCGGCTGGCTGCCAAGGACTAGTCCCCCGCTGCTGGTCGCGACCAAGGGTGTTGTTCTCCAGGGCGGCTGGGGGGTCTCAACTCGCCGGGGTGCAACCGGCCGTGGCAATGCCGTCCCGAGAGAAGCCTGCTGTCGGGAAGTCCAACTTCGGCTGCTGGAACGACCGTCGGCTAGCCTGGTGGCGTAAAGTACTGGTAAGCAAGGAGGCATGCGCGGACATTTTGTCCGACACTGTTAATTGTCAACATTGTAATTGTCAACACAGGAAAAACAGATGTGGTCGAGTGCCTGGCTCCAGCGCCTGCCGTAGGTTTTCAAACCCTTCCGCACAGTAACGTAACGCTTGGCCCTTTTTTGCGAAGAAAACAATAAAATAAATAACGCTCGTTTATGAAGAAATTTGCGGAGCAACGTAACGGAAACAAAAGCAACGCTCTGAAAACAAAATGCGGAGCTAAAAGTGTGGCGGTAAAATTTTTTGATGCGGACGGGTTCAAAAAAAACCCACGGTACGTGCTGAAGTGCGGATGGTAACGAGGATGTCTCACCGGGGATCGAACGGGATCGAACCGGGTAGTACCTCTGATGGGGTGTCCCACCGTTCTGCCAAACCACCCGACCAAGAGCACAGAAGCGGGTAGTCCAGCCCCTTCGGTACCCATCCACCCAACACTGCGCCCCAGAGCACGGTGGCACCATGCGCTTCGGCGAGAAGTCCCTCTTCTGCGTAGACCCGAAGGTAGCTGCCGGCGGGCCTGCGGTCCCCGTGCGGTCCGGGCGCCTGCCACATGACCAAAGACCTCCCACAAGGAAGGGCGGTGGCTCAAGTTCCTTGTGTGCTCGTTGAACACCCCTTGCAGGTGCTGAAGAGAGTCCTGGAGTCCGAGCGCGCGGCCCTGGTGTCCATCCGCGGCATGGCGGTTACGCAGCTGCTGCGACTGAAGGTGGGGCTTTCGTTCAGCCTCTGCGGCGTCCTTGCGGCGTTGATTGTCTCTGATGCCCGCACTGCGGTCGTTGGGCCGGAGCAGGCCGTTTGCAAAACTGCCATGGTTTGTCACGGCTAACTGCGTGTTCTCTCCAATAAGCACATTGGTGCCCCAAACATTGTTGACGTCCTTGCATTCTTGGGTGCTCCACGGATTGGCCTTCGCGTTCAGCTTGCAATTCGCGTTGCCCACGCTGGCTTGCTGCCGGCACGCTGTTCATGCTCCTCTGTGTGCCGTGCTTATTTTTTTGCATTGTAAGACTCCTGTGTCATCTTTCACGCTATGGAAGTATTATTGTACCTGATTTGGTCAGGGCTGGTTTGCCCATGGGGTTAAGTGTGTATTTTCTGGTAAAACCGCCTATGGCCTGGTGCGTGCGTGATCGATGTTATTTGTTTGTCCCTCATGCCGGGGATCCTGGTTTCAGTCCACTGGGGCTATGTCGCTGCCAAGTGTCCAGCATCCTTTGTTGTGCTTGAATTGTCTCGTTTCTTGTACCCATTTGAGGGGCATGTGCTGCTCTGCATGAATGAGCGGCTTTCAGGCTGAAGAGGGACTTCTCAGGTACATGCTGCGTGAAGCGGAGGGGCGCCCAACAACACCGGGCACCGATTCCAGTTGCAGCGATGATGAGGAGTCTTGTCCGTGCTCTTCATCGTTTGATGGCAGTGGTACCTGCGGCTCTGATACCCCACGAACAGAAGGCATTGGGGAGCACCAGGCAGCAACAGTGGCAGCGGGCAATGGGCATGTGGGAGCCAGCTCAAGGGGAAAAGAAAGGAATCCAGGAAAGGGGCAAAAGAGGGGAAGGGAAGGCCTGGAGAGCGTGGCCCCTCTCTGCGAGAAGAGGCAGCATGCGGACCCTAGTGCTTTAGATGCGTGTCAGAGGCCAGGAGACAGGATATCTGATGGAGGCAGGGCATCTGATGGAGGCAGCGGTACTGCAGGCAACTGCAATGAAAGGCAAGTCACGAGTGGAGATAGAAAGCTGAGAAGTGTGTGCGATGCTTCTGGGAAGGGCGCTTTGGCACAATTGGGAACTGGTGGATTGGATCGTATTGCACCAGGCGCGCCCACCCAGAAGATGCCTGCATCTTGCACATCTGCGCAGGTCAATCCCGGGCGGACTGAAGGGCTCATGAGCGCGAGTGAGCGTTTCCGGGAGGACGACAGGGTGCTTCAAGAGGTGGAGGGCCTCCTGCATGGCATGAGCGCAGTTGCCAAGGATTAGGGAAGCAGGTTATAGTCCTGCCTCGGGGTGCACTGCGCGATTGGGGTGGGGGGGTTAGGAGACAAGGCCCCAAGGCACCAGCGGGTGTTGTGCTATGCGTGAAGGGGAAGCTGTGGGCAAGTGTGCAAAAATATTGGTTCCTTCAATATTGGTCAAATGGGCTTGCGTGGGACACAGCAAGTGTATTGAGTAAAGCTTTTCTCAATGCCTGTCACCAAACAACCCCCAGATTGCCCAGCCCTTAGTGCTTTTGCCCTCATGAGCAAACTGGGCAGGCATGGCGATGGAAGCTGTCATGGTGCGTTTCCCATTCACGAGCCCTTTGCATTGCCACCACACACCCCATGTTTCCCATCTTCGGTTGTTTTCCAATTTGGACAGAGCTGGCCCCATTCACCGACACAATAGGGAAATGCTGGCATGGGACGGACTGACAGACATTTAACATTCACCCTCGATGTAGTCTGATTGACAACAACAGGAGTCCCAGCCCGACCCCGAGCCGTGCTGTGGCAACCCTGCACATAAATGGTCAGCTCGGCAGCTCCCAAAGAGTCAACCTGGGCTGTGCTCGTTGGCAGCGCGCGTCGCCAGGATTCCCGCGCAGCAATGTGGGGGCCAGTTGTTGCATTGGCGATCCAAAGATGGAGGGCAAAGTTCGGCGTCTGGGCAAGGACTCCCCTGACTGCCGATGCTGTGCTGACAGCCGGGGAGCAAAGCCTGTGCCGAGGAGCCCCCCCCCCCTCCCCCCCTCTAAAGAAGCAGGTAACTTGTGCAGTCCTTGTGCACGCACAAGTGTTGGCACGGCTGTGCACATGTTGGACGCGGGTCAACATGCGGCAGACACGACGCTGTTTCGTATTGAAGACCCATGCAATCCGACCGACAAAAGCACCTGTCCATCTCGCCATCATGTTTGAATAACGGAAGCAAAATATGGAACCCAGGTGGTTTGTCTTTCTTGATAGAAGCGCGACAGGACCGTGGCTGCCTGCCAGTGGCTCCTGTGTGGGACACGCACCAACACTGAATTGCCAGGTGAAGAGTTCCCATGCTGAGAGGAATTCGGGCACACACGGGGCCCAATCTATTGGCTGGTCCGCATGGAGAGGGGATTCGGTGATTGGAACCGTCCAGCTGAAGGCGACGATCCTTGTGGAGGGCCGCATGGTCCAAGAGAAACCATAGTCTACTTTGCATGCTTCTCGTGTATGCCCCACACAATCCAGCAGCCAGACTGGTATGCCTGATGATCCAAACAGGACAGAAAAGGGTTTACCACCTCAAAAGGACCCGCAAGACAACTGCCCAGCAATCGACACCAGCGTGGAGTACATCCTGTTGTTATGGTCACGGACCTCGACTTGAATAGCATTTGAAATGGGCCCAACCAGCGTGCCGCGAGCGGCTGGCAACACCGATTTCTTCCATCAGCTTTCAAGGCACGCAGCGCCAAGGACCGCATTGGCTTCAGCCACAAAGGCCAGGCGCTGGGCCCCCATGATTTTGCACACCCGCCCCGCAGGCAAGCAACAGCCAGCTTTTATTAATAACTTAAATGAATACAAGGATTACATACTACCGTACAGGAGCACCTTTGTTCCGATCTTCTGTACTGAGTCTAAGTGTCCTGCCTCGTTTTGCTCACTGTATCCATCACAACCAATCACAGCCCCCACTTTGCTCCACACAAACCCATGGTGGGCGAAGTTTCATCAGACACAGAAGCGAAAGTGGGACCAAGTGTTCGTGATGAGTGTTATAGAAGTCCTTCCCAGCCAGCCGCTCACTACCACCAAAGCGGTCCCAGCCCAATAACAACTGCACGAGGGGTTAGCCTGGGGGCCAGATCTCATAGTCAGGTCACGGTCCAAACCCAGGAGGCACGACCTGCAGTTCTTCCGACGTCATCCCTACTGATCCATTTGACAACTGCCATTACCGGCCCAAAGAACCACACTCAACCAGCAGGCGCGCCACAAACGTTTGGCCAACATGCGCCTGCCCTTCACTCAGTTCTGTGCCACGGGTGGACTGCCCACGCCCCTTTATCCCTTGTGTTTAACGCCTCGCGGTCATGGCGAGGCGCGGAGCTTCGATGCCCGTTGCTGCTGTTCGTCGCCGTTGCTCCTGTCTTGCAACCCCCTCAGTCCTGTTTGCTGCTCTCAAAGAAACGCGGATGAAGACATGGAACGCCCAAGGCCCAGGCCCTTTCCACTACGGTGTGCATCTCATGCGTTGGAAACGTCCTGTGCTATCTGTACATCACTGGGTCCCGTCGAACCACAAATAATTTCCAACAACTGCACATGAACCCCCTGCCACCTAAGCAACCTTGAGACCATGAGACACGAGAGTGGAGAGGGGGAGAAAGTCACTACTAATACGTACACTGTTCGAATGGCTTGAACTACCCTGGCGACAGCTCTACAAACCGACGCACGAAAATCCCCATTCTTCCTTACTGTAGTTCCTGCTCAGCCTGCGACGGCTCCAGTTTCCACCACCTCTTTGTGCACACCCAACAAAAGAAACAAGTGACGGAGTGCTTTGGCTTGCAATGTTAGCAACAGCCTGACACCTAACAACAGCCACCCAGGCCACCAAGTTGACAGATGGCCCATCCAGCCCACGAGCCAGACTCCCCATTTATGACCCCAAAGAATAAGATGCAAGAAGGCTCAAGTGTGACTTTACCAATTCAAAACTAGACACCTTCACTGCGAGAGGAGCACGGGCAAAGTGTTCACCATTCCACTTCTTCGTTGACCAAACTAACCTAGGTAGGCTCCCCGTCTATCCACAATGCTCCAATGACCCAACCAACAGCTCTCCTGGCCAGGTGACCAGCCCAAGCTCCCAGCTGCCAGCCTCTTGTTCCAGGCAAACCACTCTCTCCATGCACTGCTTCTTCCTCATTTTTTGCCCCCTAATAAGTTTCTCAGGCTGCCCTCCTCTACACAAGTTTGGTGGATCTACATATTGCACACGCGCATCCTCTCTCTTCCTTCGTTGTTATTTTTTCGTTTCTCTTACTTCGGCTAGCACGCACGAAAGCAACAGCAAAAAAAACTGGCGACACTACTGCAACCTCAAGTTTATCATACTCGCTCGATCCCTTCCTGTCGCCCGCATCTCGACCAACAAAATTTCTGCCCCTATGTGCGGAGACAGCACGCAAGCTGCGAACCCTGAAACGGTGCCGAAAACTTCCCCAGCGAACAATCTTGAGCGACACCGTTCGACTAACAATGTTCCTGTTCTGCTGTATCGTCGCCGCTTGCCCCTTCCTCTTCCCCAGCCAGCCCACCGCCAACTCCACACCCACGATGCCTCCGCTACGCCAGGCACCTGCACAAAACTCCCCTCCTAACACAGGCATCCCAAGAACCTTGCACACCTGTCCTCTTCCCGGCGTCTTGCAAGCCCCGCCAGCGGCCAAACCCTGGCGGAGCCCCGCAGTGCGCCCGGATGCGCACAGAGGACGACCCCGGAGGCCCCCAGCAGCCGGCTTGGGCGAGCAGGCCCTCCCCGCGCCGCTGGCCCCCGCCTCCAAGGCTTATTCAGGTTCCCGGAGATCCGCCGCCCATGCGCCGGGCGCGCCCTTCAATTGGACCACCCGTGGGCGGGACCCTCCGTGAAGGCGTGGCCCTCGTCCAGCATCTTGTACCCGGAGGTGGCCGAAGCCGCGTTGCTGCCCAGGGACAGCGTCCTGGCGTCCATCTCGGTCTCGTGGCTCACAACGAGCCCCGCGCTGGACGGCCCCTGCAGCCCCGGCTGTGAGAACTGCGCGTAGCCGCCGGGGCCGGCCCCCTCGTGGGCCGACAGCCCGCCGAAGGCCTTGTTGATCCCCGAGGCGGCCATCTCCTGCGGGCCGGGCCCGGCCATGCCGCCGACAGCCCCGCCGCCCAGGCTGCCGGCGCCGTAGCCGTTCACCGAGGGGAAGCCCCCGCCGGTGCCCACGGCGTTGATGCCATTCCCGCTGCCCGGGAAGCTCAGCACGCCGCTGTTCATGCCCCCGTAGCCCAGCGCGGAGCCGTAGGCGGGCAGGGAGGAGGCGAAGCTGGCCTGCATGTTATTCAGGCCGCCCATGTTGGTGCCGCCCATGGGCTGGCCCATGCCCCGGCCCATGCCCCCGCCGATGCTGAGGCCCATGCCGGCGACGCCGCCGCGGGAGGCGCCCATGCCGCGGTAGGCGCCGGCGATCCCGGCGCCCGGCGCGTTCACCGCGCCAAGCAGGGATCCCCGCCCGGCGCTGTACTTCGGGAAGTTGCCCCTGGGGCCGTAGCCGCCGGGGTTGGCCAGCCCATATTGCGGCGTGTGGTAGTAGGGCCCCGCAGCGCCGGCCCTGGCGGCCGTGAATCCCCGGCCGCCGAACGCGCCGCCCGCCCCGCCCCTCTGCGCGGCCATCTGGTCCCTCGGCACGGCGTGCTTTATTTCGATCTTCTTGTCGTGCAGGGTCTGCATGACGCCGTTGGCGAACACCTTGGCCACGGCGTCCTCATCCACGAAGGTCACGAAGCCGAAGCCGCGCGGGCGCTTGTTCTCGTGGTCATACATCACCACGGCGTCCTTCACGGGCCCATACTGTTCGAAGTACTCGCGGAAGGCCTTCTCGTCCACACTGGGCGCCAGCCCGCCCACGAACACCTTCTTGGACCGCTGGCTGCCCGCCTCGCCGCTGCTCTTCTTCGCCTGGTGCTCCTCCTTGGGCACGGCCTTCTTGGCCTCCACCTGCGCCCCCGCACCAAATGCGCTCACAAAACCCTGCTCCCGGGTGCGCGGAGCGCCGCTGCTCCCCGGCAAACCGCCGCCCGGCCAAGTCCGGAGAATGCTCTGGGCAAATCAGATGGGCGGCGGTGCCATGCTTGTCCGCGCGACGCCTCACCTCTCGCCGGTCAATGGTGTGCTGCTGCACAACCACCTTGTCCGCCACGGCGGGGTCTTCGAACACGACGAATCCGAAGCCCCGCGGGCGGCCCGTGTTGCGGTCGTAGCTCACGAAGGCCTCGGTCACGTTGCCCCAGTTCTCGAAGTACATGCGCAGCTTTTGGTCCGTGGTCTCCCAGCTGAGGCCGCCCACGAACACCTTGCAGTCCTGCTTGCTGGCCATGGCGCCGCCCGGCCGCCCTGCCGCCGGCGACCGCACCGGCCGATCGGGGAGCGCCGCCCGGAGTGCACCCCCGGGCGCGGGATGAAAATGGATCCCCGGGGGGGGGGGGGGGGGGCGGCGGGACGGGAGGGGCGCGGGGCACACAGCGCGAGCGAGCCCTTCGCCAGCCGCAAACCCGTATCGTTTTTCGGTGAGCTGATGAAGACGGCCGAAGGGGCGGGGGCCCCTGAAGTGCACAGTCATGCGCGGGCCAGATCCGGCGTCCGGCGTGGGCGGGGAAAGTGGCCGGAAGGGGCGCCACAGACGCCTCTGGATCCCTCTGCACTCTTTCGCGCGCCCCATCCCCCAAGGAATTGGGGCACGTGACTCCCGTCCCGGTGATCATTTTCACTGGATTGTCGTCGTTTGACGGCCCCGGCGTTTCTGTTCGATCGGTGTTGAAGGGTGGGCGTCCAAAGGGGCGAGTGTAGGCCTGCCGGAGATTCGGAGGAATCCATGATGTGGCCCTTGGGGCCCATTGGGCGCCACGTGCGCCCGCTGAGAGGGCGGGAGTGGGAGGAGACTGTCGGCCGGTTTGCTGATGGCCCGATGGCGGCGTCCTCGCCCGTCCTTGCAAGGCCGAGCCCGCCTTGGGCCACGGGCGCTCTCCCGTTCGATGTGTTGTGTGGCGTGGTGCGCATCCGCTGCTGCAGGATCGGGCGGATGTTGGCCGGCGGGTTTGGGGACGGCGTGTGACTCACGCGGGTGATGGCTGATGGCTGCCTGCTCCCCTTGATATGTAAGATTTCTTGGTGATGATGACTCATGCGGGCAGCTTCGCTGAGAGCGCACCGGCGACGGCGGGGGCTCGGTGGCCCAGGTTGGCGGGTATGAGTTTGAAGGCCGGGGAAATTTTTCCCGCTGGCAATGCCACGGGCAGTGGCGTCGCGCTTCGGGCGGTGGTGGCGAGCGTGCCCGCGGCGCCGGACGCGACGCCGAGCACGGCGGAATTGGGCGGGGTTGTTCGGGCAAAACGGCGAGGGAAGGAACACGCCGAAAAACTGCATTAAGAACTCAGAACGCCGCAAGGCGCAGTCGACAAAATTCGGCACGGTCTTTTGGTAAATTGCCGCCGTGAATGCGGTTGAAAAGGAATTTCTTTCTGCCGCTTTTGTGCCGGTAAATTCACCAAATGAGGCTTTTGGCCAATGTGGAATGAAGGGTCGAATAAACCCTTCATTCCAGAATTTGCGCATTCTGGGCTGTCCAAGTTCCCACAGCGTCCAGAAACCCGTCGGCCATTGCGCATTCGCTGAGGCGCCCGTGCGCCAAAGCATCGCCCAGCCTTGGCGGCTCCTCAGCCAAGCCGCCCGAGCCGCTCCGCGTTTCACTCGGCGTCGCCCCCGCAGCCGAGGCAGACGCTCCCGGCAAGCGCTCGGCTTCCGTCTCATTAATCGCGCCAGGCGGCGCGCGCGACGACAGCAGATCGAGGAGAAAACCAACCAAGATGTCGCTCTCCAAGACGTCCAAGCTCCTGCAGTACATAAATTACCGTGAGAAGATCTGGCAGCCGCTGGCTGGGTTCCGGCTTGGAGGATGCGTGAGTGCGGGCGCTGAATGTTGGCGCTGATCGGCTTGCAGGAATGAGGGTTACCATACAGGATGGGCGCCAGATCGTGGGAAGGTGAGCCCTGCGAGGGACTGCTCCTGTTGTTGTCGCGCCTGCGCGGTGACATCTCGCGGACCCGCGGCCCCGCCTTGGGGGGCCCTTTCGCAGGTCCAAGCCGAGTCGCGCCGCATGAATCGTTTGTTTAGCTTGGCGTTAAAAGCACAGAACGGGGTCCTGGCGCATGGCAGGCAACGACGGGCATGCATGCAACCAAATGGATTCCCTGTTCATTCACTCTTCCACATGTTGTCCGTTTTTGACCCACACAACTGATCATGGGGTGGACTTGCGCGAACATTGTAAATTCTTAGATGCTGCATTTGTGAGCAAATTTTGATAGAGCACGGCCCTTGACCTGTGTTGTGAACCATCCGCTTCCCAACAGAGGTTTGCATCGTGAGTAACGAAGGATTTGGGGCTGGCATGGATCCCAAGTGACCAGTTGGGAAAAATGCTCTTTGCTGCGCCAGGTTCATGGCATTTGATCGGCACATGAATCTTGTCCTGGGAGATGCGGAGGAATTCAGGCGGTTGCCCCCAAAGAAGGGAAGAGAAGAGGTGCGTGGAAGGTGTAGACGTAGCATCCACCTTCTTTCCATTGCACCCTGTCCAGCTCCATTTGAGCTGCAGCCGCCAGTGCTACACTACACAACTTTCGCCGAAAAACTGAATTGCTTTCTACTCTGGTGTCCATGTGAATGCCTCCACAGCCCTCTCAAAGGGGTTGGTCATCCATTCGGATAGATGAGTTTGGATTCCCGTGGTTCCCCTCGATAAACCATAGCTGACTTGAAATGACTCGGGGAGAGAAAAGCTATGCCACAATGGCCTTCAGCAGGTGCTGATGGCCTGTGCTGAAAGTGCTTCATCCCGGTCTGCCCCTCAGAACCTGTGCAGAGAGACAGCTGAGATCGAGTATGGAACATGCAGTTTCAATGCTCCAGAGTTGCATCCACTCAGTGCATGACAGCCCCAAATCTGGCTTGTTTTGCCATGTTCAAGCCAACCTGGTCACCCAGGGTGCCGATGGAGCAGTTTGCTTACGGCTGCCAGTGGGTGTGCTGTGTTTTGAGACTGCTGAAGATCAGCTGCCAAAATTTGCATCAGGAAGGTATCCATGTGGGATTCAAAATCTGCAGAAAGTCATGGCGTGTGCATGTCATGTGCAATTGTTGTGTTAGCAGTGGCAAAACAGTCAACTGGACTGCAGAGGGCTACATTTGCAAATAGTGCAGAATGTTTCACATTCTCCTTTGTCTTTTACTGATAGCCTTGCGCACTGTGGCGCTTAGGTTACCCTATAAACCAGAGCAATGCTTGTGAAGGGGTACGACCAACTCAGCAGTGAGCGTACCATGCTAGTACAGGGTGGCTCATCTTCGCATCTTTTGTAATTTGCACAGCAGGGTGTGTGAACGTTGGCTCTTTGCTGGTCGCACTTGTTGCACATGGCATCAAAGTGTCATGCTGGATTTGTACAAATTGAAAGCAGTGCTGGGTTGCTGCCATTTCAGCAAGAGGAGCGAAGAGTGCTTGGACTGGTGTTGCTGCGGGGCGAAGAGGTCATATCACTAATGATCGAAGGACCACCCCCAGCTGACGATGGCAGAGGCGACAGAGCACAAGTTGCTCCGGTGAGCTCAAGGAGAGTTGGAGTATCACTGGAATGAATTGGCGGCCTGCATGGTCATTTTCCATAAGAAAAATGTACAGAATGAGGGAACAATGGACATGCAACGGCTGGTTGTCACACCCTTTGCTTGAGGCAAGCGACTGCATGGCCCAGGCACCGTGCCAGTACATCGACATCTGGGTTGTCGTCGTCCAGAGCACAAAACGGTGCTTTGCTTCTGGTTGTGCTGCCATCCTTTGTTGGAATTGTTCCACTGCTGTTGCCAGTGCTGAGGTACTGATGGCCCTATGCAAAATGCTGCTGTTTGTCATTTTCCTAGAGTGTGACGTTTTCGTGTTTTGCGCATCGGCAGGCAGGACCAGGGATGGGGCGAGCTGCAGGGCGTGGCATGCCTGTTGCTGCTCCTGGACAGCCTCCGGGGGTGCGTTTTTGTGTGCTCATAGTTTGAAATGTGCCTTTGCCACTGCAGCTGGAGGCATTCCTATCTCTAAACGGCGTGCAGAAGACAGAAAACTTAAGACTTAAAACTGTAAAATTTAGGCTGAGAATTTAAAACTTGAAAATTGTTACCAAGCTTGGACGGCCATTGATGTGCTGGTGTGCTGATGAGCTGAGATGCGCTGTTTAGTGTGGCTCTCATGGCACACTGCAGGATGGAAGGATTCTTGATGTTTGGAGTCGTCAGAAAATGGAATTGTGCCTGTTTGTTCTCCTGGAACAGTTCGGCATGTTTATCACCTTGATGGGATTCATTTGTGTTTCATCCCACTTCAAATTCTCTGTGGGGCACAATCAAATACACAATTGAGTACAACATAGGTTCACGATTGTTTTTCTCATTGTTTTGTACTTTGTGACATTCAGGGACTGGCAGGGCCAGCTCGTGGCGTTGGAGGCGCTGCTCCAGGAATGATGCTACCAAGGCCACAGGTGCACCAGTCTACTGGTGGCCACTCTCATTCATCCCTATGGATACTATTGATATGTGCTCGATATTGTGGCAGATGTTTCCACAGCAAACTTTAGCACACAGCACATGCGGGCTCTTCAGCTTACACTGTAAACAGCAACGTACAGCTGCCCGATGTGAGGCCCACTTGACGTTGTGAAATTTCACCGTGGTTTCATGTCATGTATTTGTTGACATAAGGCCCAAAGATATCTCCAATGCGATGTCAGCAGTAGCCAACAGGAGCCAGCAGGAGTCGATGTCACCATCTGTTGTTCCTGCGTTCAATTTACTGACATTCCGTGCTGCTGCCTTCCAGGTTCAGGCGCCACCGATCATGAGGCCGGCTGGTCGGATGGATGTACCCATGGGTGGCCCACGACCAATGCCTCCGCATGTGGGAGGAAGGCCAATGACTGGTGGGATGCCATTCTACTTGACCTTTCATTGCAGGACGCAGATCTCTTTGTGATTTTAGGAAAGTCGGATGACTGTGCTCCATTTCAGGATGTCTGGATTGCTGGGTTCTCTGGACAAAGACTGTTCAGTTTGCTTATGTGTTGCATTTAATGCACAGTGGCCTCAATGCTCTTGTGTGCATGAATGTGCTGATTTGCATGCTTTTTCACAACTCGACTTTGTTAATGATAATGGTGTTGTAATAACAATAATGATAATTGTTTGTATTGCACAGCAGGTGCCCCCCCAATGGGGATGCCTCCTCCTGGCGGCATGCCTCCACCTGGTATGCCGCCGCCAGGAATGCCACCGCCTGGTGTGATGCCGCCGCCAGGGGCTCTACCACCAGGGGTGCGTGCTGCCTTGCTGCAAGCCATCGAATGCATTTGTCCAGAAGCAACGCAATAGTGCCCATGCACCTCGCAGGCAGTGATGGGCAGAATGGCTTGCTGCCCTGGTCCTTCATTTGAATTTAGTTGTGCACCCTGGATAATGGGATGGACACTTCTGGTGGTGGTTGTGGATGAGAATCTACACTATTTACGTGCTGAAGAAGACACAGCACAATTGAGTACTCAATCTCCTTGCAACCTGATCCACAACAGCCTCAACAGCCACAGTAGCAATTGAGAATGCTGCAAAGTCCAAAGTGCGGTGATGGACTATCTGACAAGCCTTCTACCCTGAGCAACCGACTTGTGTATATTTGGGTTCTTGTACTCTCCATCTTGCATTCAGTCCTTTGTGGGGCCTCATGTGACCTTGAACTTTTATGTGAGATGGAAAAATGCCGATCAGTTGCTGATCCCTCAAATGATGTCAAACGGTGACAAACGGTGCGAAGTTCAGGTCGAACCAACACAACAGAAAAAGAAAAAATACGCCCTTGTGACATTGTGCAGTGACATTCCTCGTTCACTTTGTGCAACTAGGGCTTTATGACATTGTTGTGCATGACAAGTATCTGTGAGGACTTGGCTCATGTAAGGCATGTAGTAAGGTTTCTAAACTCTGAGTGCCATTCCCCTTTCTGTGCCATCGAGCTGCCGAACTCAGCAGTAACATTTTCTTAGTTTTATGAGGATTGCCCTGTCTTGTAACCTAGAGCCTCCTGCCATGAGCATTGAGATGAAATCTTGATGGGAGCTTTACAAGCATGTGTAAGTAAGGACACACTAAGTGGGTGTCATGCTTGCTCAACACAAGTGTATTGATGACAGAATGTCATGCCACTGGCGCATGCAAACACACCAACAATGTCTATGTCCAAGTGTCGATGCCCATATAGGGCTTATTTCGCCCCTAAGAAAAATGTAGGCAAGTGAAGAAGAGAAAAGAAAAGAAGGCAAAGATTCCCTTCCTGAGGGTGACAGCTTGCCCAACTACAGTATTTCTTCAGCCTGTGTGGGAAGATTGCTGTAGCAACACGTTTACCATATCTTTCACCATGTATGTTGTTGCAGTTCAGCTGCAGTATCATTTGGCAGTTATGATGTGGCAGTGCATTGTTTATTGTTGCTGAACATTTTTAGTACTACGTTCACCTAAAAGGCACAGTGCATGGATAAATTCAGAGAGTTGATGCATTTAGTTTGATCCACTACACGAACATCTGCAACAGCAGCCTGGTGTTTCCAGCAAGAGCAATATTACTACTGAACATGTCTGTTACACAATACTATTTGCTAATCCAAGTTGAGATTGTGGGTGCTTGCAAACAGGCTCGGCCTGGCATGCCCCCTCCTGGGATGCCACCCCCGATGATGATGCGACCTGGTCAAAGGCCTGGCATGATGCCTCCGCCACAAGGGCACCCAAGAATGCCGCCCCCAGGACAGTAGGCCCATCCTTGGGTCTGGATGCTCCCCTGCAGGGCGTGTGGAGAGCCATGACTAAGGCATGTGTCTACTTGAAATGGCTCATGAAATGTTGTTGCTGGCATGAATTGCATCCTAAATGGCACATTGGGCATCACAGATAGCACGTGGGCAGCATGATTGACACAGGCAACGCTCTGCAATGGGGGGAATGAATACTGCAAGGGGGGCTGCCAATGAACGGGCTGGCATGTGCAGGATGAGGTGCATGGGAGGCAGCGCAATGTGCCTTGCAGCTGGGATGCAGGATGCTGCGATTTCACCTCACAGTGCGGTGTCCCTTGTGATTGGCAGCTTGGTGTTGATGGGTGAGTTCAGAGAAAGAACAGCCGGGCGCTACCAGCCTCTCCTCACATTTAAAGGCCAGGTCAGGCCACACATGCATTTGGGGCGCTGTGCACATGCATGACAACAAAGTGCTTCACTGCATGCCAGGGTGCATCGATCAGTATATGCCGCTTTTTCTATGGGGCTATTTCGGGTGATGTTAACATATTAAGTTCATTGATTGTTGTGTTAGAACGGAAGGACTGCAAGCAGGACTGCAGCTGCTGTCTGTGCACCTGTGATTGCGCCCACTGCACAGGGACACATTGGCTAGACAAAGGCCATTGTGATGTCTCTAAAGATTCAGCAGTCAACCTGCCCGCCCACTCCGTCCGACCATTGCGAGATGCCTGCAGTAACCCGGACAGTCGAATCGAAATTTGAGCACTGGGCAGTTCCTTGCCCATGTCGCAATTCCAGCTGGACAAATAGCAGTATCATCCATAAGAGCATCTTTATCGGTCGGCTATTGTTCCGGCGGAGCTATTCGGCTATCCGAATAGCTCCGCACGTCAAAAAACCATCATTAACGGTTGGGGAGCAATAACTCCCCAATAGCTCCCCCGGAGCTATTCGGCGCCCAGCGGAGCTATTCGGGGCCAGAATAGCTCCGCTCGAGGCCGAATAGCTCCCCAGAATAGCACCGGTGCTATTCGCGCAGAACATTGTAGTGCTGCAGTGATGCTATTCGGCGTAGTCATAGCACCCACCATTGCGGATGCGTGCAGGGGAGCAATAGCACCGGTGCTATTCGGCAAATGCCGCCTTAGTAAGGTGGCACGGCAGCCAATGAAAACCGTTCCTGTATAACTCTGCCGGTGCAATAGCACCGACCGATAAAGATGCTCTAAGGTATCTTTGATTCCTCTACTTACCTCTGCTATCCTCGGATGTGTCACTAGACCCTCAAGTAAGAAATGCATAAGTGTTTCTGTGCGCCAGCAGGCATTGCTGATCGCCATACTGGTTGAAAATTCCTTCTGGAATCATTCCTCCTAACTACAAGCTCGACTTTGCTCCGATGTTGTCAAAAGGTGGATGCTGCACTGCAGTTTCAAGGGAAACCTCTGACTGGCAGCTGTTTATGCAATTGAGTGGAGTCCTTTATATGATGTATTATTTTGGAACAAAAATCAACATTCAACAGAGGTTGCCTGCCATATGTTCACATCACCAGTCACTTGGGCGAGGATAGAGAACAGATTTCGTTGGGAGCACACTTCGTGCCTAAGCAAGCTAGCATCACCGGAATCGCCAGACAGGGCAATGTGTTGTTTTCAACAACGAAACAGATGTTGGACAACAATTTTGATTCTGATTTAATCAAGATTTTCTGTTCTACAGACTTTTCAGCCCATATTTGGTTGGTTTTCCAGTCCAAACAGATTGGATTTGCTGTCCCACTTACTCGACCAGCATCAGCGGTGGTGTCGCGAGTAGCTTTGGGACCACGAAGCTGGGCGGCCAGCAGTCCCAACAAACGACCAAAAATAGTCCAAAGATTCATTATAACAAAATATACCATGCATTTGGCGCCCTCCAGTCAAACTGTCACGTGGTAAAAGTGTTTCAGAAATCTCTGCAGATGCAAAAGGAATGTTCCAGGAGCCACATATGATCAATCCAGGTTTGTGTTCCTAGCAGCAAGCTGCCCTGGTTCCATGCATCCAATGCTGGCGAAGAACTGTCTATACCACGTTGATTTGGTCTATCACTATGGCCCAGCGGGTCAGGAGCAGTTCGCCATCAGCCAGTTCGCCGCAGACTGAACATCGTGCGCATTTTCCTCTAGCGCCTCCTTTGCATGTCGTTTTGAGTAACCCATGGACGTCAGGATGTCCATGTCGGCCTCAAACGCTGCCTGTGGGACAGGACAAGCCCATGTGAGTGATGGATGCAGGGCAGTTGCAGACAAAGCTCGACCACAGACTGAGTTCGAGCACACTACTGTAGTATATTCAACCTTTCCGCATCAAACAATTTTGCCATTAAGCTTCTTCTATGCGCTGTTGTTTCAGAGCATTATTTTTCCTTTTTTCAAAATTGCTCTGCAAACATTTAATAATAGAGCACTATTTGTTTTAATTTCTTTCTGCAAAAAGGCCAAGCACTACTATGCGGAAGGGTTGAATTCACTACGGTGAATGCTAGTGCCCTGTGAGCTGATCCAGTCGATTATTTGTCTCTAGTTGATCTACTGAAGGTGTTATCCTGCAGTCACAGTTTGGTCAAAAGTGATAAATTCTCTTCTTTGAGTTCATGCATTCATTCTCGTATCATTAATCAGTCCGGCTCCACAGTTTGGTCAAAAGTGATAAATCCTCTTCTTTGAGTTCTTGCATTCACTCTGGTATCATTAATCTTTCGGGCTTCACATTGCTTGGCATTTATTGTGGGGTGATGCCAGGTTCTGTCCCCCTTGGTTGGTCGGGGGCACCACCTGGACTTAATTGTGATTCAGTAATATGGAATCAAAGAACAGAAACAGAGCCACAGGTGACAAAGCACTCCACTTGCGCCTTGAAGGTACTGTGTGCATTATTCCGTCCTCAGCCAACTAATGTCGCAGTCTTGGGCGATATGCTGGAGGACAATGAGTGGTTTGCACATCTACTTCAGTGTGTACAGAACAAAAGAGATGATGCTAGCAAGATCTGGCACTCAGAGACTGAGGTGCAGGGGCAGGCAGCAGCCGCACATGTCAACAAGGTTACAACCGATGGCACAGCTGTGCACTTTGCAGTTATGAGCGCTGGTAAACCAACACCCAAAAAAAAAATGTGCTGCGCCCAGAACAGTGAGTGCCATGCTATGGAACATCTTGAATGGGATGGACAAGATGCTTATCTGCCACAATGCATACCTGGATAGAATCTTCCCCGTCAGGGGAACCATCATAAGGTTCTTCAGACTGCAAGCACGCTCTTTTCCTGCCTGCCTGTCTCATTGCACTGCAAAGCAAGGCAAAAGTGAGTTGCACCGATTGGCAGTGGTGGTTGGTAGCCATGGACCCATATCGAACGGATTGAACACCTCCAGTGCACACATTGGTGCAAAAAGTGGAAGTCTATGCGAACATAAGACTTGTTGCAGAAGCAACTTGGCCCTTTTTGTGCAAATCGTTTGGCCTCACTTGGGCGGCAGCAATGCCAAGAGCATGTAAACTGACCAGACCAGCACCACTATGTGCACCATGCACCTTGTCTTTGGCCACTTGTGTGCAACTTCTGTTGGCATTGAGCAAAATCTGCAAACTTGGCAAAAAAACTGCGAGTCTGCTGTTCGGGCAGGAGCACTACTTGTGCAGCCTGGTCACATTGGACTTCACATCTGCAGCATCGCCTGCTTCCCACAGCCCTTTGCTTGCCCGATTAGCGCACGAAGTGCCTATGGGAGCTGCAGGGGATCCAAACAGCACTCCACATCGATGTTAGGAGGTGCAAGTTCAGTGCTGTGGCACGTCTTGCACAAATGTAACAACTGGTGTGCAAAATTCTGATGATAAAACAAACATGTTACACCTAGAGACAATAACATGAACAGCAGTGATTTGTTGCATTCCTGACAAGAAAAATCATGGCAAAAGTCACCTTCCAGTGCTGGTTTGTGCAGCAGATCGCCTCTTTCTTGTGCCCTGTCGCTGTTTGCTGACAGTGACCTCTGCCAAAGGGCCCAGTCGTCCGCAGCTCCTGTCCAGATCTGGCTGCAAGCCACAAGAATGCAGCTCAGTATGTATGTGCGATGGTACACAACACTTTGCATTGTTGCAACCCCCTGTATCATGTCGCTTGTTCGTCACAACGACAGTGCAGACTGTCAGCACAGGCACACTGGGAAATACTGCATGAGGTCTTGCAAAACATGGACAATATTCCCCTCAGCATGACAGCTGTGCACAGAACTGCACCCTTTCAACACAACTCACATGAAATGCAATTCACCTCTTGCAACATGTGGGTGCTCAATGACTGCCCTATATCTGGATATTTCGCCCTTTTCAGGTAAATTATTCAAAGAAAATTTGTGAAGCACTACGTACCACCGTGTTCCATATCGATTTCACTTTATTACCGTATCTGCATCAGGGCTGGAGTGTTGAGTTAGGGACCAGATGCCTTTGTGAAGAAGACAGTGGGGTCAGCCGCCTCAGGTATCTTGGTGTTTTGTTGGTTGATCACCAAGTTTTGGGCGGCTTGTTGGATTCAGCATGAACCCTTCAACACACTCCGGGCACACATTGGAACATCTTGGTACAGCTGTTGTGACTACCACCGTCACCATTGCCGACAGGTCACCTCGCACCAAACTACGCCATCATACAAGGCACAGTGAAGTTTCCTGTTCCAGCTCTTCCAATGTGTGCATAGCGCATTGAAACAATTGCTGATCCGAAATATCTGCCTACACTGTTCATGGACATTCCGAATGCCTGACCTCACCTTGCAGGATGGCTCCATGTCGTTTGCCCCTCCTGTTTGGCTCCTGTGGTGTGTTTTACCAAAAGGCATGTGAGTACAGTTTAGTACAGGTGTAAGTAGATAGGCATCACAAGACAAGTTCAGCAGGCTCGTAGCACAAGGCATGCAAGTACAGTTGTAACAACTCACTAATTCTGCATACCAATGCTATGAACATGTGGCATGGTTTTCTTGTTGTTCAGCCCAGGATCGGCTGTGATTGATTGAGCCACCAATACAAAACAGTTCCATCCAGCAATATCCAAACAGCAAGGACAAATTCCCCATTTGCCAACTAAAAACCAAATGATGGATTGCGTTTCGTGTATTACTGCTAAGTACTGCTGGCATCGTTGTCAAGATTGATACCAAGCAGGAGTGGCACCCCTACATAATGTCCATGCAAAATGAACATCTCACCAAACATCAGATCAAGAGACAACAGACATTCTCGTCGTTGGGTTCCGTCAGAAGATTTGAAATGATTGACAGCTGCCAAAACAAGTAAGAATGAGTGAACATGTTTGAACAGGGGAAAGTTTACAAACAACAGAACGAAAGGAAACACAAACATGAGGGGAATGGGAAATGGCACAAAATGTAGGATCCCCTACTTGGCTGCACTACAAGGCAGGTCCTCGCTCTGCTGTTCGGCTCTGCGAGCTTCAGGTGGAATCTGTTCCTTGTTGTCGATGTGCTCTGGCATCCCTTCATCTTGGCCCATTTTTCCCACCTCAGCTTGCTCAAGTCTCCATCTCTCACAGGATTTCACCACCTCCACCAACAGGCTTCTCAGCTGTCCAAGAAGTGCGATTCGACCATCCCTGTCCAGGTCCTCTGCTGTTGAGTCTGATGCCCCTTGCAGAAAGGGCCACCCTTTCACAAGTCTGGATTTTGGACTATAACAACATGACTTGCTTTTTCTAATTTGCACAATTCAGGAGTTTGTTTCTTTTCAGTTCCTTTTTGCAAGACTTGGGCAACTGCTGGGGAGGAAGTTGTGGACTCTGTAATCATCTTGCCACAGCTGGAGGGTACTCAGCACGACAGCGGTGCTGATAGAAAGCAATGATTTAATGCTTTAGCAGTTTAGAAGCAGCAACTTTGGTACTTTTGTTTTGGGTTTTAGGGTGCAATGGCCACTAAAGAATGGAGGACCTTTAGCGAAGAAAGCTGCAGAAATAATTGAATGCCAGTGGGGAAGTTGTGTAAATCATCCATGCGCATTCTGGATCGAAGAGTAACTTGACATCAAGAAATTTGATATGGACATATACCAATCTATTGCAGAGGATTCACGGGGCAAATGCGTGGTTCTTGCACATCTCGGACATTGCCACACTTCCAAATCTGAGAATTCAATGTTTCGCTGGAATGATCTCCATGCTCCCATGAATTGCTGCAAGCATGTGTGAAATCCACTACTCGTGATGAATAGTCCAGTGCGCTTCAAAGCTGAACACCAATCACAACTAAGTATTGCCACTCCAGAACAACATAGCATTGACAGACTCTGGCTCACAGCCTGTCACCAGAACTTGGAACTGCATTCGTCTGAAGTGGCATCCTGGCAGTGGCAGACGTAAACTCAACCACAGCGTTCTGTTGCACAGTTACCCAGGGCCTGTGCCTCAGATTGTCACATCAAAAACCTACCAAAAAACCTGCCAAGCCGGGAGGTACCCAAAGCAGGGTCCACAGACTAATGCATCAAAACAGACCCACCTAGCAGGGAGGTGTCCACAGCAGGTGCTCTCCCCTCTACCATGCCCCTCTCCTGTGCTGTGGCCTTCAATTCCGAATCAGCACCTGCAATTTCTTCCGCTGACAATCCATACCTAACACAGAATTTGCACCAAGCAGGAATATTATCAATGAACAGAAGGAAGAGATAAACAAGGAAGGAAGGAAAAATGGCAATGTGCACATTCGTCAAAAAGTTGGCAACTGCATTTTCATCCGATAGCCAGCAGGTGTTAGGTGCTCTTCACAGATGCCTGGCGCTCCCTTGCTTTTTGTTGTTCCTGTTACGCACAGTTTTCCTGTTGCCCGTCATCTTACTGTGAGGCATTTCTCCACTGCAGCATGTAATCCAAACTGTAACCTTCCCTCTGCAGAACATTCTCTGGGTCTAGGTGCGCATGTGTTGTGCAGAAGAAATATTGACTTTGGCAACAGCCTTTGCCCACAGTTCTGGGAAAATGAGCAGGTAGTGGCTTTGGTGGCAAAATGAGCTTTCGGCTCCCTTGCAGCTCAAGCACCTCAGACCACAGTGCTGCCCACAGTGAAATTGTTGGCAGATGCACAGATAGCACCCTCTGGCAAATATAGTCTGGTTGCGATGGGAAACTGCCGGCATGGTGCCCAGTTCCAAGCAACAGAATCCACACAACAAGTGTGCTTGAACAGGAAAATTGGCGACTCAATTGTCCAAACATGGATGCATTGTGCTGCACAACGATTTCTTGTCATTCGCAACAGGGGCACTTTTAACATCAGGGAGAGGGGGCAACACCGAGCTCAGAATTTTGGCACTGGTCTGCATGGTCAACCTCTCGACTTCCTGGGACAGTGAGTTCAATCGCAGTTGCCAACATGACAAAAATGCTGCGCTGGCACCTGTGAGGCAATAATGGCACACCTCCATCAACACAACTTACAAGGGAACGGTTCCTAAACTCCGCCCAATTTGCATTCCAGCAATTCCACAAAAATAAATCATCACTCACTTGGCTATTGCCTCTTTTCGAAGCTGCTCCTTTTCCTTCTTTGTGAGCGCATCTAAGGTGCGAAGCACAAAGTGATGTCACAGTGAATGGTCACCAAGGATGATCACAACAATTTTTATGCGCGAAAACGCAAAGGATGACATGCTCAAACTGCTAGGCTGCCAACGTTCCAACAAGGCTTTCAAGACGCAAGTGCCCAATTTGTGGCAGACGAAGGTGCTGCAATAGGGGAGCCGAACCAAGCATACCCCCAGTGTTGATGATCATGCCGTTCTTCCTGGTGACGTCAGTGCGGCTTTCGTTGTCCTTCCGCAGTTTGTCCACATCAAGTCTGAGCCCTGTAAAAGCTGCAGCAAAGAAAACATATTCTTGAAAGTTCTGCAGAGAGCCCAACACAGACAAGCAGAGTACAAACAACATAGTCTCCAAAGCAGGCAGGCCGCAGGTTCCAGCAGAACGAGTACATGCAATAATGGAATCATGAGGGATCGCAGTTGCTTTTCCTCTCTTGTTTTTGGGCAGCCACAGGAATGAGTGCTGGAGAACAGGTTGCTAATACTCCACATCCAAAAAAAAAATCATCCAAAATTATCCAAAATTATCCAAATTCATCCAAATTCATCCGAATTCATGCAAAATTGGAGACCATCAATGCAAGACTGTCTGCCACAGTCAGGCAAACTGATTTGGGAGCGTTGGCACTTCGTCGCCTGTGTTGACTTGTGTTTCTGACAATTATGGCCTATGCAGGCCCGAAGACCAGGTCATGCACATGAGTGTGGAGCACACACATCATAGCAGTGGCAGGCTACAAGAACAGAGGTGTGTAACTCAGTGACACCACTGTCGCACCCTGGACAATTGACAATGAACTTCTCGACTTGATCGGGGAGCATACCACAGAAACGTGCTTGTTGTCAACCTGACAAGTTTGTGAAGCCAGCAGCTACAATGCTGAGGACTGGATTGACAGCCGCCGCACAATGTTGCCACAGACAAACACCAGCACAAATGTTCGTTTCATAATGGACATTGACACCATCAGAAGGTCTGAAACTCCCTCATGGCACGTGCCGCACCTCCCAGCGATTGCTGTCCCACCATTCTCTGAGTCTGCCCATTCAGCTGCTGAATCAATTTGCCAGGCAACAGTCCTGTGTCTAGAATCTTCACCCACTGGCCCATCCCGAACTTCATCAGGCCCAGCTTTAGCACCCTGACGTCTTCAGGCGTCCACCCAGGCGCAGCTGTATGGTTCCACCTGCAAGCCAGCGACGTGGCGACCATCTGGCTCATGGTCTGCAGACAAGTGCACTCTGCGAATTCTGCACGACCATTTTGAAATCTGTCTTTTCCAAAGACAGCTCAACATTTCGTGCCAGGCTTTTCCCCTTGCCCTGTGGCCCTCTCCCCCCTGCCTGCATTTGGTGCGAGTGAAGATCGTCTCTTTAATGTGAAGGCAAACATTTCATAACCTGGATGCACCCTGGCCTGAGTGTGAAGTACTGTGAGGTTCTTTCCATCCCACAGAGACATAACATGCAAGTCCACCAGGTTACCAGGAACGGTAAGCTATGGTGCAGCCATCCAACGGAGCAACAGCCACGGCAAACGATTCGAAAGGACCCAATTGAACTGCGTAGCAAGACTGTGCCTCGGCTCAAGCACGGGGCACCATTCACCACCTTATCAGCACCTGGCCGTCTGGCGTCCAAACAATACTGCAGTCAAAGAATTGTTTCAGACGTACCACATCGACTGTTGCATGCTGACTGCAGAGGCCGATCTGGGTGGTGCCCTGCCTTTCCTTTGCCAACAGGCGGGTCGCTCGGCACAGCCCGTCGAAACGCTATGCTTTACCGAGAAAGGAAACACATCATGAATGGGGATCCCCTTCTGAGCACACGCTTCATACAGTGGACAGCCCGCTCATGAACAAAGCGAGTGAGACTCCTTTCCTTACTGCTACAGATCATGTACAAATCTCCAAAGGCAGGGTAAGAACACGCGGGCAGTGTGGAGCATTGATTTCAACAGGACAGCCCGCCACCGCCGTGCAGATAGTTTGTATGCCCCACAAGGGCGATAGCCCGATCCACCAGGCGCGCGTTTGCAGCGCGCCTTCGGAGCGTCGGCGGCCGCGCCAGGAGGCAATGGGCGGCGAGCCGGTAGTTCACCAAGGGCCGAGCGAGGCCACCATGTTTCGACGGACATTCCCGACGAGATGACAGCTGTCCCGCATTTTGGCGCCACTCTTCCATCCAGGCCGAACGCACGCCATTCAGAGCGGGGCCCACGGCGCGCCATGGCGCCCAGCGCCACCCCCGCCCCCGCGTAAAACGTCTCCCGGAAACTCTTGCTTCATCTTGCGCAGCTGTCAACAAAGTCCAGCAAAATTCTCCCCAGGACGGCGTGTGCTCGGCCCATCGCACGCCTTCCTCCCTATCACAAAGCGATCTCATCCGCGGCGATCGCAGGCCGACGCAGGCCGATCGGTTTGCACTGCTGGCGGAGATGTCCGAGGAAAAGTGAGAACAAACACTCTGGATATAACACGGATGGGGCACGACTTATTAAGTCGCAACCTTTGCATGAAAGGGATCCCAACTTAGCGGAAAAGTCTCTTTCCCCTCTCTCTGCCGGCGGAGATGAGCACTCACAGGGACGCGGTGTCGCCGATTTTTGGGGCGCATCTCTCCCATGACATCGTCCCTCGCCCACAGGCGCAGGCGCCGGCCGGCAGCCGCGAGGCTCAGGCGATGCCGGGGCGGGCGCGGCGCTCCGCTGGTTCCGGAGGCGACACTCGAGCGCCGTTCTTCCACCTGCGGCCCGAATTGGTTGCCACGGGGTCGCCTTGGCTTGGCGCTGATTTGAGCCGAGGGGCGGGCAAAAGAGCGCCAAAGCCGTTCGGGTGCCAGATTGGCCGGTGGGCGCCTCTGAGGTGCCACCATTCCGCAGGGTGGATGGAGTTTGGGGGGGTTCTTCGTTGTTTTCTTACCATAGTCTTGAAGGAAATGCCGTTGATAGGATTCAAACGGCCCCCTTTGGAGTGCACACGGGAAGCGCGAATCCACGATCGCCGATGCTTCAACGGTGTTGGCACACGGCCAGACGCAAGGCCACACCACACACAAAACGCCCAGGGCTTACATATTTGTTCACCCTTCCCACAACGAAGAGCCTTGCCGACGGTGGCAACGACCCCCGCAATTGAAAATTTCGAATCCCTTTGCACCCACAGAACTCTTCTTTTCACATGACAACCATCATCCATCAACAACCAGCCATACGACACTTTAGAGATGCCCACTCATCGCCACAATGCAAACCACTTCATAAACATATGCCGAAGGTGCCCATACACTCAATGGCAATGTAGAAATGTTCCAATTGCGAGCGCACCCCAAACCATAGCATCTGTCTCTAAATCAGAAGGCATCTCCCCACAACAATTAAATTGATGCTCACAAAAGTCCCTTCACAGGAGAAATAATTATGTGAATTCTAAAACACATTTTCTTTTCTTTTTATAAATTCTGAAAGCCTTGCATGTGAAAAATATTCTTGCAGTGCGTACAACTCGCACACCATAATGCATAAGTTATCCAACCAATGAAACGGTGGTAATTATGTGGTGTTGCGAACAATAGGTTTTTAAACCCTTCCGACTTGGACAATATTACAGTTACGCTTTTTGCTCCGCATTTTGTGTTTTAGAGCGCTGTTTTATTATTCGTGCCCCCCCCCCCTCCCAAGACAAAAGTTCAAGCGTTATGTTCAACGTTGTAATGTTATGCGGAAGGATTTAAAACCTACTGTAGTTTTTGTTCTTGGTTCTTCTGTGTCTGACACTTAGCTGTCTGCCTGGGATGGGATGGTCAGTGTGGACAGCTGGTGCAACTCATGCTAGAATTGTGGAAGAGCATGGTCTTGACCCAGATTTTTGACTGCGTTTCTTTGAACCCAGCGTTAGGGTTGCAATGGTTCCTGAAATGGGACAGCTTCGGATTCTATGCCTGCGAATGGGATAGACTGTATAATTGCAGTTTCGAATACCCAGGGTCTGATGCGTTTCCGGATGGGAAGCCCAAGCCAGCCTGAATGGGCTGTGGCTACGGCCGATAAGTTCACGCTTAGTCACAACATTCACAAGCTGAAGCCTTCAGCCATTGGGTGAGGCTTTGGAGCAGTTGACCGTCTGTTGACCACAGGCACACAGCCGAACCTCCTGCCCAAGGAAGATCAAAAGGTACTTCACCTGACACTGTGCGCCCTTCTGTTGCCCATCCCATGATCTAACGCCAAGCGCCCCGCCGATGCCCTCGGACCCCAAGGTCCACACCAATCGCACTGCTGGGCAACATACACCCATCTAGCACCCCCACACCCCAATGATCTGCTGAACTGGCAGCTGGCATGCCAGCATTCGATGCCATGCCTTTCCATACTAAGCAATCTACCAGCAAGTTGCAGCAAAATGGCCATGATGTGTGCTTCCAAGCTTTGCAGCCATGAGAATGGATCGCACAGCCGGCCAGCCCGTCTTCATTCCATCCACTGTGCCGCCTCCACGCCGTAGTACGTGAGTATCAGGTCTGCCCCCGCCCGCCTGAAGCACAACAGCGTCTCCAGCACGCTCTCCCTCTCATCCAGCCACCCCTTCTCAGCCGCTGCCTTCAGCATGGCATACTCACCAGACACGTGATATGCTGCAATGGGCAGTGTGGAAGCATCCCGCAGGGCACGCACGACGTCAAGGTAGGGCAGGCCAGGCTTCACCAACAGAATGTCAGCGCCCTCATCCTCGTCAGCCACAGCTTCACGCAGGGCCTCACGATAGTTGCCGGCGTCCATCTGGTAGGTTTTCTTGTTGGGCGGGATGATCCTGGCGCATCAGAGTGTTGCAGCATAAGGCTTCAGATACGAGTGCAGTTGTGAAAATGGGACTGGCTGAATGAGCAACTGCTGGGCCCAAGATGTTTGGCATGGATGGCCCAGGTGTTTGAGATTGTTGTCAACCTGTGGTGCAGAATCCTGTTCTACTGCCAAGTGCAATGATGGGGTGCACCAGCAAATACAAGTTGGGTTTCTAAAGCGTGAGTGCCAATAATCAGTGACGCTTGCACAGAAAAGATACATCGCATACAGTAGCTGGTTGCAGCCCACTGTTGTGAATTGGGAGGCCTTTGAAACTGCCACAATGTATGAGTGTGACCACTGCCAATCACAAAGGGAGACAATTTCGGATACGAACTCATTTGGAAAATGGAAATATGTGGGCAGCATTTCTGTCAACCTCTTCACGATTGGTCAGGCCACTCATAGAGTGCGAATCTTGCCAGAAACAGACAACATTTCTTTTAATTTTTGTGGCTTCTTTTCTCCATCTTAATCCATTCAATGTTAACCCCATGGCATGGTGAAGGTGCAAGGGTTGGGTGCCGCTGTGGGTGGCGAGGAACAGTAGTGGAAATGCTGCTGACGGCCAGCACAATGTTCTGTGCAAGCCAGAGAAAAGGGGAAAAAAATGCCCCCTTGCCCCCACCTGTTCTTCTTCCCAGCTGCAGGGGCGCTGGCCAGGGCATCCCTAAACGGTCCATAGAATGCACTTGCGTACTTTGCGCAGTAAGACATAATGGACACATGTGTGAAGCCGCTCTCATCCAGGGCCGTTCGGATGGCCCCTATGCGTCCATCCATCATGTCGCTAGGTGAAACGACATCGGCTCCAGCCTCTGCTTGGCTGACGGCCTGCCGGCAGAGGTACTCCACAGTCTCGTCATTCAGGATGACGCCATCATCACGTACGATGCCATCGTGGCCGTCGCAATTGTAGGGGTCCAGGGCCACATCTGTGTAAACCTGTTGCCATGGACGCCAAAGGTTAGGTATTGACAGAGAGGACAACACATCCCGCAATGGGCACTCCCTTACTAGGACTTTGTGAAACTCAATGTGGTGCACGGACACAATCAAAGTCTGAGATGCAAATCCCATAACTGGTAGTCCTTGTTTGGCTCTTCACCAATGATGACCTTGTCACATACTGCGCATCCCCACTCCTGAGTAACAAGAACACCAGGCACTTTTCCACATGATGATATACACCACCACTCTAAGGGGCTGAAACGGAACAAGTGGTACAAGCATAAGTTCTCTTAGTATGCAGTAAACAACCACCCTTTTGTGGCTCTGCAAACTGAACTTGAAGACAGTTGAACATGCCCACAGATGGCGTCATCATACATTCTGGAATTGGCATCACGAGAAAAGTGGCTGTGCAAGAGAAATGTTGGTCATATTTGGAACTGCAACAGTAGCAGCTCTATGGCTCAATCACAACCTCTGGAAGGTACTTAAAGACCCCCAATATTTTTTCCCAATAGTGCAATATGTTCAACCTTTCAGCGTGTTCAAAATCGAGCGTCAGGTTTGAAGCGGCTCAGCCCTCTGCATTTTGACCAATCAGTGTAGCCATCGCTTTCATCAGACTGGATCATCTCATAAGCTGCTGCAGCAAGGTGGCCTTGACAGATGTGCAGAGCCAACCCTGTTGACCCTGTCATGTTGCATTGCCACACCAACTTGCAGTGGATTGGATGCGCCAGCCATGGGGGCTTGGGTGCACAATCCCAGGAGCTTAAGATCGAGAAATGCACAACCTTGTCCTCCTCAATGCATAATGGGGACAACGTCCTTGGGGAGCAGTGCCCCTGTTGATAGCTGTGCTAGGTTGGCATTGGATGGGAGTGCCCTTACATGAAGTGTTTCAGTGTTGGAGAAGCAACGTTTTGGTTCCATTTACCTCAGTTTCCAGTTCGAATTCTGCCACCCTGCCAGAGGGTGGAAAACATTTGCATGCCTATAGTGAAGGTCCAATTTAGTACGATATCAGCACCACAATATTCATTATCCCTTGTGACCATATCCAAACAGGAAAAAAGGCTCCCTTGTATTGGCAAATTCTTTGTTAGCAATACAACAACTGGTTCACACTGGACAATTCAGCTACCTCGAGGTCAGGGAAATTGTCTTTCAGCAGCGATATGGATCTCTGTGCAAGGCCATTGGGGTTGAAAGCTTCCTCCCCAGTTGAAGTCTTCAGGCTTTCGGGCGTCTGCCAGACAGCACCACGATATGAGACCACAGGGAGAAGCACATGGACCACACATTGTGTGGAATGTTGTACTTGGAAAAGTGCAGAGGTTAAGTGTATCAAACCTTTTCCCGATATTTCAGGTGTTCCAAAATCAAAATCGAGCCGTGTGGGCAAACAAAGCCATATGACACACTGTGGGTGAGCAATGTCAGCTGCAGACGAGCCCGCCGTTCACTTAACGAACACTTCAACAGCAAGATTCAAGTAAACTACCTGTGTGCATCAGGCTGTGTGTGTTCTAACCACCGCCCCACCCTGTCTTTGTGTTACTATTCTTTGTCCACCCTCCACTGCAAAAGCAGTAGAAGCAACTGCATTCACTTCACCAAAAAACCCAACCCGCACACAGTTTGATGAATCCAACTTCTACAGCCGCAGTGGCTCTTGACACCCCATCGCCCACTGCAAACATGCCAAGCTCCAAGAATGCTTAAGTCCTGAAGATTGCATTGACAGCCATCAAGTGCACAATTCTCACCTTGGGAAAAATGACCACTTGATTGACGCCAACAGAGCGGGCTTCACGCACTTTTGCCAGCAGACCCGTTTTCCAGCCATGCCGGAAGGCTCCTGGCATCGAAGGGATGGGCAGGTCATCTTCCCCATCGTGCACAAACAGTGGGAGGATTATGTTTGCCGGGGACAGGTTGACTTCCCGGATGGCGTCCCTGAACGTTTGGCTTCTCCGATTGCGACGAGGCCGAGAAGGGAGTTCCTTGCGTCACCAACAAAGGCAACTCAGGTGCTGATTATTGACAGCTTTGGCAAAAAGTGGACAGTGCATCCCGCATCACTTGGGTCAGTTTTTGTTGCAGTACATCCAAATAGCCCAAAATGTGTGTTGGATTCTTGAGGGAGCAACCTCGATTCTTCAAGACGTTCGTGGACCTCAGTCCATACACAGAATCTCCACCATCGAGAATGTCTATGACAGTAGTGAGCGCGATCTCCCCAAGTGAAACTTGACATGGAAATCCAGCTGGCAATTAAAGCGTCCTCACGCAAATTGGGCTTTTTGGCTAGTGCCTTATTTTAAACCAACTGTGTTTGGATGGATCAGGAGCGGCTGAGCAGTTCCGGTGATCAGCCTGCGACAGTCAGACGAGTCGACGGACGGATTGCTTACCATGGGGTAGGGCATTGGTGTACCATCAGGAACGCCTGGCTGCCAAAACACACAAAAGCCTCCCCCTCAATTCGCAACCGGAATCCTTGCTCTCCACCGCCAAGAAAACAAGCGCGGCCGCCCTTCAACAGCCATCCGCTTCGACAGCCAACGCGATCAGTTCGACTTGGAGGCGACAGCAGCCCCGAATCTCCTCACTCCATTCCCTCTCTCGAATAGCCATTCCCCACCCAATAGGCCCCCCTCCCGGTGCCGTCAACTCACCTTCGGCCGCGCCGATGGCTGGCTCGCACTCCGTGCGGGTGCATCCGCCACAGCCGTCACCCGCGTCGGGCATCGGGCCCTTTGCGCCGGGCGGGGCGGCGCCAACGCGCCGTCCCTCGTGGCGGTCCCGCAGACGCGCGCGGGGGCGTGCTGGATAGGGAGGGCCATGGCGGGTGCGCGGCCCGTGACCCGGCCGCCCGACCTTCCTGCGCGGAGATCAACCTCCGTTGGCAGGGCGCGAAAAGGCGGTGCGTCACGGCCCAAGCCGGCGAGAATGTATTAGTCCCTCTGTCTTTTCCGTGAAGATCCTTCTTCCGCTGACAAGGCCAAGGCCGGCCAGTGGGTCAGTGGGTCAGTGGGTCAGTGGTCTAAGGTGTCCGAAACAAGAAGGGATCTTCACGGAAAAGACAGAGCGACGAATTGGGTACCCAGGCCGGCTTTTCGGGGCGATCTGCGTTTTGGTGGTCCACTGCCGTAGTCTATTCAACCCTTCCACATTTTTTAATTTCAGAGTTACGATTTTTGCTGCGCATTTTCCCGACAGACCGTTGTTTGGGGGGGCTCCGCATCATGGCCACAGCCAGAATTGCGACTTCGCTCATTCAAGATGGCCTCAAATGCTGTTTTTTTGCCACAGCGACTAGTGCATCGGGGGCCGCTAGACGTCCAAAGCACTCCAAAGACCCTCGCTTCTCGCCTGGGCCTGCTCCACATCTCGTTGGCATCTTTATCTTTTTATTATTGCTCCGCATAAAAAGGCCAAACGTTTCGTTGCAATGCGGAAGGGGTGAATGTACTACGGCACGATGGGCGTTGAAATCGCGCCAAATCGCAGTCCCGCATCAAATCAAGACCTTGGTGTCTGCAAACCGCGGGCTTCAAACATTCAGGTCTTGTAATACTAAGGCATGCTGAATGTTCAACATTGGCGAGACTTTGTGATCCCCATATTTTTGCAGGCAAGGCGCCCTCCTGCTCAACTACCGATCGCTATCGCATCGACATGAGCGACATTTTTCGCGCAGCGATCCCAAGCCGCCTGGTGGCGTTATTTCATAGGGCGGCCCGGCACCATCGTTGTTGCCCCACTGCAAGCCGAGTGGGGACCATCCTGGCAATTGGTCTTCCTCTTGAAGGAATCGTCAGGTTAATCGACTCAAGCACATCGCCACGGCTTGGCAAAATTATTGTTGGTCGTGCATTCCGTCAGCTCGAGCCGGCAGGAAGATCTTTGAACTCAAGGATTGGTGCTTTACCGATACTAGCGACAGAGTAGCGCAAAGAACACCACAGACCGGTCTGATAATTCTGTATAGACAGCCATATGTATCAGGTGCGATATGAAGGGGGCACAAAAGCCAAACTGACATGCCTTTGTCGAACAGAAGTTTCCACGGTGCCAATTGTTGTGGGCAGGATCCGCCCCTATACTGCGCGATACAATAAATCACAGCGGAATTAGAAAGAAAGCAAAGGCAAACTGAGGCAGTGAGGCATTGGAAGATAGTACTTCTGCTGTGCGAAACGTTGGGCATCAGAATCTGGACATCTGATTCTAGCCATCCAGAACCTGGAGGTAATCGGCAAAGAGACATGGGCCAACACAACTCGTTAAAAATGATTGAGACGTCCGTGCCCTAATCAACGCGTGTGTGAAAGTTGGGCTTAGCACATCAGCAGCTGCCAATGATGCCCAAACCGTTGAGGGGCGACCGGGTGCGCTCATCTTACAGATTTCTGATTCTGATATCAAGAAACCTCATCATCGCCCAGTTTTGGCGTAGTTACCATCTTTGGCGCATTTGGAACTTTCTGCTGATTGTGTTTGTTCTTCGGATGTTTGCATTCGTCCAGGCTTCTCATTTACGGCGTACATACAGATTGTATTTGCGGTTTTATGCGTAAAAATATTATTACGTTTTCACCCCTAAACATGCGTAAAAAACACGTAAGTACAGGCTCTATGCTTATATGGGCAGTACATACAGATTCAGGATGTCAGGGAGTGGCAGCCAGCCGCGCTGGAGTGGGCAGAAAACGATCTTTTGCTCGACAATGTTGTTGCCCTTGCTGACGACGAGTTGGATGGTGTGTTGCGTGTGCTCGAGGGGTCGGAAAACTGACCATTGTATGCGGCTTCATAATTTAACCTGAGCGTCCCAGCGCGCCGTGAAAATACGTAATGTAGCTGCAGAAATAGCCGTTTCTGTGTGTTAACGATTCTGCATGTGAAAACGTAAACGCAACAACGTAAACGTAAATAACACGCCTGGATTCGCCGTTGGACACATTCAAAACATTCATTCCGCGGTATCCTTCTCTTTTCTCGGCTGTGCTTTGGAAGAATGCAGTTCGGGATCTCTGAGCGTTCGTACTGCCCCAGCGATGAAGCACTTATTTCCTTCTTCGGCATGGCTGACTCGAGGATTCCTCGACTGCCACGGCTTTCTTGCCCACGGTTCAATCAGACTTGTCAGTGCCTTCGACAACGGTATCCATAAGCGCACAGACGTGGTCCCATGGGGAAGCTCACATGCAATTTTTGGAACGCGTGCAAGTTTGCTCCAAGTCCAAGCATGAATTTCAACAGTAGATACAGCAGGACCTCACGTCCCTGCTCATGACTCATCATGGGCATTTCTTTCGCATGGTCAATCTCAGAGCTACAATTTTTAATGCTTATTTTCCAGGATTAGATAGAGTTGTATTCTACTCTGATGTTTTCGGCGAATTCTGTCTTGCAGCCTCACCTTAGTACAAGGTTTTCTGAGCTCGCCAGATGAAGCTAATTCTGTGATTTTCCAGCATTTCCTGGGTTGGTTCATGACACCAACTTGACCAAGTTATTGTACGATAGAAGCATAGTACTACTATGGGGAAACACCCTCCACATCTTTTCTTCATTGTGGGAATCTTCGCATGCCAGTCCTAATTACTTTCTTAACACCACTTTGCAGGTCATTTCAATCAACTTCAACAACGATTTAGTCTCAGCTTCCAAAGATTTTTCTCGCAAATTGTTGCATTCAACAACTCTTCGGGAAACTTGGACTTCAGAGGTTCTCGATTTATTAGTGCAGTGCATGGGTTTTCAATCAACAAATAATGGGCAGTGCTGTATTGGCCGAATTGGGGAGCTAAAAGCTGCCTCCCCCCCTGATCCTGACTGAACTGAACTGAGCTGGAATGGATCATTGGAGCCGGGCCGATCATCCGCCACAAGCGAATCGTACAGCCAGAAGGCTGGAAACTGCAAGAGCGAAGCGCACCACCTGCTTTCCACCCCACTGAAGGAACACGTGACACCCGGCCAACCAACAATCCGACGAGAGAAAAAGGACTGCGCGTCCATTCCGCGCCCGCCTCGTCCTTCGGCGCTGCCTCCCGGCTCTCCCAGTTTGCGCCCACTCCCCGGGGCAGTGCCAGGCCCGTCCTTTGGGCGCCCACCACCCCGCCCCTCCCCTTCCCCCATGGGCTCACCAGAGGGCGCAGCAGATGGCCCATTGGCGGCCAGGTGAGGGCGGGCAATCCATGGATCGCGACGGCGTAGGGCGGCTCTTCGATGCGCCCGCCCAAATCCCGGAGTGGCTGTCCCAGGCTGCCGCCGACCTGCGGAGCGGCACGTCCCAGGTGCTGTCCAAGGTCCGCCGCCGCGCCCTGGAGCTCCGGTCGGACGCGACCTTCGACTCCCGGAGCCCCATCGGCCGCAGGCTGCCCCGGCCCACGCCCATCACCTCCCCCATGCTGCCGATCTCCCTGGCGCTCTTCGCCCAGTCCGCGATCGACTGCGCGGCGCCCGGGCCGGACGGCAGGCGCCGATTGCCGCCGGGCACCTGCGCCGTGATCGCCGCCAACGCCCTCGTCTTCCTGAAGCCTGGGGGCGTCTCGTCGTCTTCCGTCTGCCTCGCGCCCCACCGCATCATCGAGCGCGGCGAGTTTGGGCGGCTGGTGGTCAGCGCATTCGTCCACCTGGACCTGCCCCATCTGGCGTCCAACATGCGGTCGGTGCTGGAGAGCGGCGCGAGGGTCGAGGAGGCGGTGGGGTGCGGCGGGCTGCTGGTGGAGGCGGCGTACGCCACGCTGCTGTCGCAGGGGATCCACGTGGCGTCCGCCTGGGCGGAGAGCCGATGGCTTGGCCGGTCGGGCGCCTACTACTCCACCGGCAGCGTGGGCTTCTCCTCCGCCTGCTTTGCGCTCCAGATCCTCGCCGGCTACCTCGAGGCGGGGGACGGGCCCCAGGCATCCGCCACGCTCGTGTCGCCGAAGTTTCTGTGCTGGGCCAACCTGATCCTGTCGCAGATCCTGTTTCCCGCCGGGAGCCTGCGGGGCCACGTGTGCGGTATCGTCGCCGGGCTGATCCGCGTGTACCTGCCGCGCCCGTTCTTGTTGATCAGGCGCGCGGCGGCGGGCCTGGCGGAGGGGCTGCTTGGGGGCGGGATGCGGCGGGGGGAGGCGGACGAGGCGGCGCTGAGGAGGGGGCGCAAGGCCGGCGACCTGCTGATCCATCTAGGGTTTGGGGTGATCGCCCTGGCGTGCGTGGTGTACGCCAACGCACGGCAAAAGGCGCCACTGCTGAGAGTGAGGCGGCCGCTCTGATTGGTTGAATTTGCATCTTCGTTTCCTTTTCTGGCGGGGCTGCCTGCAAGGGGGGCGGGCAGGGGGATTGTGGAATTCTTGAGGGGGCCATCTGTAGAGGAGGTGGGGTTGGGGTGGAGGCTGTGATGCATGGCCAGGAGGGTTTGGCTGCGATCGAGCTCGATTGGCCTTCTGGGGGAGCTGGCACATGCTCTGTGGCGCCCAGAGGCAGGGAGACAACCGGCGCAGCTCTCACTTTAGGCCACCAGCATCAGCAACTGGCAAAGGAGAATTTATTGCCTGTTCTGAATTTTCATCAGGAATTCGACTGGGGTCTCCCTGGATGAACCAAAGCAAACGCCAACGACAACAGGCTCTCCAAGCCACTTGCACTCTGTGGGGTTGCTCTGGCTGCTGGACAGCCGTGGGCCTCCAAACGCAGGTGCTATGCCTGCCACACTATGAGCAAAATGGCACCTTTGCAGTGTTCGCTAGGTCAGCTCTTCTCAAAGCTCCCCTCCACACACGCGCCCTCCCTATTCGTCGTCAAGCTTCGGCGCTTGCAGGTGTCCTGGGCATGTTGAAGGCTGCTA